TACGTTACGTATTGCTTAAGAGAGTTCCCTCTCAGGGATGATCCCCTCTATAAAATTCGTTAAGGTAACCTGTGCTGATTTGTGTACTCCTTCTTTCATTTCAGCTGCAGGTCAGAACTTGTAAGAATATTTTGGCGTCACCTCTCCTGAGGCGACTTAAACTTAGAAATATTTAAACAAGGTCTCATAAGGATTGTCCTTATAAGGAGTTCCTCTGCGATCCCCACCATAAAATTGTTGATATGCCTGATAATTTCTGGGATGAAGCGCAGAGACATCGTAGCTGTAGGATGGGTCAAGCAATGGCCGACCGAAGCAGTGAGATCGACCAGAGCGCTGGAGGCGCTCTGGGGAGATCGACCGTAGACCGTCTTATAACGACACGTGTTTCGTAAAAAATTTAAAAAATCTCGATCCTCCCTGTTCTCTTTTCTCTTTCTATCTCCTTCCTCTTCTACTCTACTCTCTGTTCCCCTTCCTTCTATCTTCTCTATTCTTTACTACCCCTACTTCTATTTTTCTGTTCTCGTTTCTCTACTCCTTACTTTTCTTACTCTTATTGCCTTCAATTTGTATTTCCAATTCTCTTATATTTCCTCTGCCGTAAATTCATATATGTGCAACCCAAATTACACCTGATATTTTTATATTTGAGAAAAATGCCTTCAATTCCTGAGATTCGATCCGCGGTGCTCATAGCATGCCATGGTGCATCGTCTCCACTCGAACACCGAGTGTTTTTATCATTACTATTTGATTCTTATATTTATGTTTCTGCTTTATTCAACTTTTTAAAAACAACAACAAGCCTTAGCTATGTTGTACACGTTTCACGCACACAAGATTCATACGCAATATGATGTAAGACGCTTATCCTGGAAACGATAAAGAGGATATCACAAAGAAATGTGAATGCGATTAAATTTTAAATCGTTTTTTATTGATTATATTTAACAATACATTTTTTTTAAGAAATATCGACGGTATCAAATCCCGTAGCAGTAAAGACTTGCCTTGAAATACGCGCATCTCGAACACTACCGTCATAATGAAAACTCCATGGTTCGTGCACTCACAAACTTCTTCTCAGAGCACTAACGTTGTCTATTTACAGGAATTAATTTTAAATCTAAGTTATTGTTAGGTGCAAGAAAATAACTGTCAGCCGACGGAACGACACACGCGTGAACTGAAAATGAATTCGCGATTAATAAAAACACAACGCATCCCATCACACTTGTGAAACCTCGATCACGTCCGATTCTAGGGCATGTCGCCTATTCTTTATTAAATATTAGTCGATGTACTTAATTATGTTCTGAAGAAACCAAAACTAGTCGCGATGAACACGTGCGATCCACTCGTTGGCCGGAATTACACTGAATGTGCACTGAACTGCACACAGCTAACGTCGGCTACACGCGGTCACTATCAGTATTGCGATACGCTGGCGTAAAAAAATATATACAAACATCGCGTGAACCTAAACTGAAAGCATAGCAGCGCCAGGTTTGTTACTACTAACACACTCATTAATCTTTAATCTCTAGGCCCATTTGTCACCCAAATGTTTAATACCGACCAAAATTAATAAAGTTCTAACTGATTTAAGGGCACTTACTGACACTATCTGAAAAAAATAGAATTAAAATCGAGGCAGGAAAACGCGAGATACAGACGCTTTTTCACCATAACTTTTCAAAAATGACCAAAATTGATAAAATTAGAGACCCATTTAAGAGCACATCCCGGCACTTAAGGATGTGGAATAATATCGATTAAATGTTTCTATTTTAAAATGCACATGTTCAAATTTCGCTACTGTTAGTATTACTTAAAATTAAACGTAATTTAATACTATATCAGAAAACGTCAAAAAGAGAACGAAGGATAAATTTATACGATTCACTCCAACTATGATGCGAGTCATTTATTAGAAAAACAAATAAATTGTACCGGTTAAATTACAAGAAAAAGAAGTTAAATAGAATATACGAATTGTGTTTTAATAAAACAAATCAAATAAATGTAAAACACAAACAACTAAAACACGTGTTATTCAGATAAATTAAACGACACTAGCGCAACCTAGGTGTGAGAATTTAAACTAATCGACGATAAAGTACGCCAGCACCATCTAGCTTTCGCGGAACTAACTACGCCAAACGTAACAGGAAACTGCAGTATAGCTACTATAGAGCAACTACCAAAGCAACTTTAACAAAATGATTCAAAGTAAAGTTAAGTGAAAAGCAAATTTTAAAAAGTTTTAAAAATAAGTTGCCTTAAAACACAAATATGCCATTTTTCTGCCTTCCTCCTTTGATACAAAACTAAGATATGAATATAATAAACAATTTCAATACTTACAAATTAATTCAAAAAAGACTCTCTTGCAAGGTTCCATACAACCTAAAACAGACAAAAATTAATTTTAATAATTTAAAATATTTTGCTAAATACAATGTTAAAAAAACACATGTTTATAGCAATTCTCTTTATAAAAATTCCCGAAAACTCTAAAATAATGCAATAGATAAAATTTTCAGTTTTTTTTTATTTTCTATCATACATGTAGAAAAACAAAACTTGCTTAAACATAAACAGTTTAAGAATCAGCAATGGTGACCTCAACCTCTACACCAGGTTCAATGGAAATTGAGGTGATCTGCTTCACAATCTCGGAAGGAGAGTGAAGATCAATGACGCGCTTGTGGATCAACATACGGAAGCGATCCCAGGTCTTGGAACCTTCACCACAAGGTGTTTTGCGAGTGGTGATTCTAAGCGTCTTGGTCGGCATGCGAATGGGGCCCTTGACACGGAGCTTTTGCTTCTTGGCGCCGAGGATAAGGTCGCTGCAGACCTTCTCCAAGGAGCGCACGTTGCAAGAAGTCAGCGTGATGCGGATGCGATGGATAGGTGCCGACTCTTGGCCAGGCTTTTCCGGATTCTCTGCCTTCATGGTTGCCTACAAGTAAATTAATTAATTATAAACAAAACATTTAAATTGAATATAGATGGTTAGCTAGTTATAAGCAAATTTTAAAAATTAAATCTCGAAGCTAACAGATCCACGTATTTGAGGTTATATACGCAAAATGTTAACAGAAAACATTGTTAATACATGGAATAATTGGTCAAAACTAATAAATAACACAATTATAAGCTTACCATTGTTGATTCAAAACAAATGAAACGCTTCTGGTCGAGATAATCAAATATTTCGAGCGAATTTGATCAGCGCTGAACCAGAAACGGCGTGCACGGATCAAGCCACGAACAAAATGGCAGAGTTGCTTGTTTTGACGCTTCGGGAATCTTCGTGCACCATTACCAACATAAAGAAACTATAAAAGGAACTAAACAACCAAGCATAATAATTTTAAATATTGGATATCAATCATTTTTAGATGCATATTTATGTTACACAGCAATAAATATTAATTTTCATATTCACATATTATATTTTAATTATACCTATCCTTTTACCTGTTGTATTCGATCAAACAAAGGCAATAGTTGCCATAACAACGAATAAACAAGATAATTTGACGGAAAAAGTCAGACTGTATTCAGCAAGTAATCAATTTTCTACAATTTTTATAAACGCTTTCTACAAAATAAAAAATATACCCTTATCTTCAATTGCAATGATGGCTCGAAGAAAAATACGCGCCAAAGGAGACCACACGTAATATTTACGATAATTTTTTATAGCAAATAATTTAATTTTAATAACTTTAGTATTGAAGAATGCAACCATACAGTAAATAGTGTTCCTATTCACTATCATCCTCCAACTGCCAAAGAAGGTAAACCACAGATTACCTTAGTTTCCGGAACCGGAAAATGTGAAAGCATTATCATTCCAAGTCGAGAGCCACTCGCCATTCCTGGCATCTTAGAAAAGAAAGATTTCGAACGTCTTAAAAAACAAGCGAAAGTATTATCAAACGAGGAAAGAAACGCGCTCCTTAAGGAAGCAGAACAAAGGAAAAAGCAGCAACATGTTGATTCAGATAAACGAAAAGAACTGCTACGAAAGTTACATAATAAAGCACCGGAAAAAGGCTCAATCTTAGATGAAGCAGAAATGGAAGCTACCAAAAAGAATCAGTACATGTTACAACGTGCACGAGAACTGCGACAAGAGCAAGAAGACGAAGTAAAAACTTTGAATGGAATTATATTAGCTAGTAAATGTTTGGCAATTCGAGAAGCTCAAATTGCGGAGAAAAAGATTATAGCGAAAGAACTCGAAGATGAAGAACGTCGTTTAGATTTGATGATGGAACAGGAAAGACAACGTGCCATGCAGGAAGAAAAAGAAAAGCAGAAAGAAATCGAACTGCGTAATCGTCAATTTGTTGGTCAGGTAAAAGAACAATTGAAAGTGAACGAAATTCATGCACTCATAGATCGCGAAAAACGTGAGGAAGAAGCAAGAACTAGCAACAAATTACTGATTGCGTTCCAAAAGGCACAACTGGAAGAAATTCAGGAAAAGAAAAAGAAACAAGAGCAAACCAGGGAAGATTTGCGTAAAGCAAACGAATCTGCAACAAAGTTTAAGCAAATGAAGGAAGAAGAGGAGCGAATGATAGATCTTCGCGTAAATAATTGTTGGAAAACTATGTTTATTATCATTATTATATAATTATTTAATATTTTAGTTAAAACAATTTATGGAACAAAAGGAAAAAGAGGAAGAGGAAAGGAAACAGCAACAAGCCATATTAAAACAATGTAAAGATTCAGACATTCAACGGCTTGGCGAAAAGTCAGAGAAAGCGAATTGTTGGCGATTAAAAGGGAGGAAATGAATGTCTTTCGATTACATGAAGAGGTATTATATTTAAAAATCAACAACTTCGATTCTAAGTTAATTTTTATAGGCAGAGCGTGACTGGCGTAAGAATGAAAAAGAAAAAGCGATTAAACGTAAAGAAGGCATTGAGAAACTGCGCATCGAACGCCAGAAACAGATTGATGACATTAGAGAAGCTCAGGCATTGGAGATCGCCAGAGACCAGGAACAATTTTCTAATGTATTTGTTATTGAATTTTGTTGAATTAATTTACTAATGTAAGTATATTTGCAGGTTTGTAAGATACAACGCAAACAGTACGAACGCGAGATAGAAAAACGCAAGGAAGATAAACTCAAAGCCGAACAGAATCGCCGCGAGCTTTTGAAACAAGTCAACTTCAAAGAAAAGCAACGCATTGATCGAAGACGGCTCAAAATGGAAGAAGGCGAAGCCATGCGTCTTGAGGACGAGCTGCGCAAAGTGGACTTGTTGGAAACTTTAGAACGCAAACTAAATGCACTCGGGTAAGTTTCATATTACGTAAAAGTGCATAAAATTTAAAAATGGTCAGTCATTTATTGCAAAACTGCATTTTGTCCAAAAAACGATCATAGTGCAAAAATATATTCTGTTTTCAGTGAGAGCAGCATCCCGGAACGGACGATTCAGGACATCAGACGTCAGGCCGAGAAGAAGATCAAAGCGCATCTCCTGTGAGCATCCCGATACGGCAAGAAACAAATAATTCGACCAAAAACCAAATTCCTAACTAATCCAATTATAAAAGACACAAAAAAAGTAACAAACATTTTCTTCTTCAATAAGAATTAATCTAAAGGCAAAGAATTTTTTTCAAATAAATTTTTTAATGAAAAACAACTATAAATAGAAAGTGCTAATAACGCAATAATTAATACACAAAATAAACAAGAAAAAATGTAAAATAAAAAAAGCGTCGAGACACTTCCAGGCCTGCAACAATATCAACAACTGATAATTAAATAACGATCATATTATTGCAAACGTACGAGAGGCAGGATTTAAATTAACAGATCGATTACTTACTAATAAGCAAGCGATAAACATTGTTACGCTTGAATAAAAACTTCCTAGAAAGAGTACACACTATTTTTGTTCAATATTGGGCACAGGATAATTATATAAAGATAAAACTGCAAGTGCATAATAAATCAAACAAATACAAACACATCGTTCAAAAGTGTTGACAAAAATTGACAAATTTACCTTTTTGGTGTTCGAAATCCTCAATTTTTGTCCGCCGTCCGTCGAAAATTCATTACCTAAAAACATGGTATTTGGTTTTCATACAAAGCACGATGGTATTAATGTTTAATCGTAATCATATCATAATCATAATATAAGAGCATACTTATTAAATATTATTCGCTATCGAGTATAGATAGAATATGAATAATCATGTTTATGTGTGTGTGTTCAAAAATGTCTTCGGTCTCATGGTTAATACAAATCGTCAAGTTATATCAGAGAACATAGGAAAATAACGACGTTGCGTGGCAAAGAAACAAAAATATTACGAATATTATAGTAAAAGACGTTAATATGTTAATAGATATATATGCGTGGCCAACACGAGATTCATTTTTCATTTGATAAAAACAAAATGCGTTCCTCATAGGTCAGTCCATCCACGATGCCTAAAAATGTACAATCTGCATGCGCAATCCTGCAACACATTGCTATACATACACAGTTTATGAAATTTGACGCAAGTTTTGAGCTACACAAATTTGTGAATAGTGGGTTGCCACCTGCAAAAATCAATGCACAATTTGTTGCAACGTACGAAAATAGAAAATACATGAGCATATATATAATATAAAATAATGATTAATGAATTGAATACATATGATCGAAATTATTTCTTTCGCCAAGGAAAACCTACAAACGTGTGTGAACCATTTATGTTTCTATAATCATGTCATCGCTTATAATGCTACATTTGTGTTGTTAGTCGTGTTGATGTTCATGAGTTGTGTCCAGTATGGCCAGTAAATTTAAAACTTATCTTTTCAATTATGTACTTATTCTTACGCTAAATATGTTGTAACTAACTACTATCTAAGCTTTCTTTAATTCGTCGTAAACGTATTTAAATGTAATCTGGAAGCTATATAATTATTTATTCTCTTAATCGTGCATTAAGTTTGAATATTCAGTAATTTTATTCTTAAATTTTGTTTTGTAGAAGACATTTTCAACGTTTCGTTTTATTTTCAAATTCGTCAACTCTCCAATCTGCTATGCATACTTCAAAATATTCTATGTACAATCAATTATTCAAGTTCTTAGTATGTAGCTTAACGTCTTTCATCATTCCTATATCTAATATATTATACCATTACTTTCTCGTCATTGAAGTTTAAATTCTTTAATTCTTTCATAATTAAGCGGTACGTGAGAAAGTTAAATTAATATTTTATAAAAGTGAACAAAAAGTATACGTATTAAGCCATTACAAAAGCAAATATACGTCGGAATAAGTAAAGTCGCATGGATTAAACCATTACTTAACTTATACCGAATGTACGATGAAAGAGAAACATATTCAACGAAAGAAATCGATTATACTTAATAAACAAACAATCGCAAATATATAATTTCGCACATTCCTCTTGCGCGCGTCGCCGAATAGAGCACTTAATACGCTTAATACTTTTCGATTAAAGAGTTCATAGAATGATTTGTAACTTTAAGCGGCTGGTGAATATCTTCGGCTGTCTTCGAGATGATTTCTTCAGCGCCGCATCCGACGCACCTAAATTCTACGCTTTCGGCAACAACCAACCCAACAAATCGCAATCAAACATGTTCAATGTGAATGTTCAACCTTCAATAGCATCAGTATCAAACACCAATAACGTTTTCATCAAAGGGATACACATTATGCACATGTTATGGTAATGTTCATCGTCTGCATCATCATCAGCATGGTTCATCATAGGTTCGTCTTATTTTTTTTTTGTTTAACAACCGTAATTTGCGAAAATTAGTCAAGCACGCCGTCCTTGGCAATTGATGACCGAGACATAAAATGGCAAATTCAAGTGGCGGCGGCGATATTCATAGGATTTATCTGTAAATTGCACAAGAAAACACAAGATTGGAAGCGGTCGCTATATGCATCGGACCCAGATTTTGTTTTTGCCTGTAAATTCACTAACAATACTATCAACAAATTCAAAATACATGTAACAAATGAGCATTTTCTCCAAATAACCCCAAGTTATCCAAGTTATTGGAAGAAACAAAGGGATGCAATTAATTTCGAATAGATTTTATATTGCAATAGGCGTCTGAAGAACGTATTTTGATATCTAACAATACAAAGCCTTAAAACAAAATCCATTCTTCTGACTGCACATATTGCAATAATAAATAACTCACTAAGCATCCCCTTGTTGTATCTACTCCAAAACTATGTGTAACTTACTCTGCTCCAGCATTACAATGAATCAAAGATAGTATTATAAGTACATGAAAAACATTAAGTGATTACATTAAGAATAAAAGTGTTAAGAGCAAACAAAGGTAAGCGAATAAATCGTGTAGCCAATTAGGTATATTGTATATGAAAGAAATAAAACTACGGTCGCCTACGCGCAGGTTGCTGCCAAGTCTCGCCTGCCCTCTCTGCCCTGTCTGTAATACCTAACTCCAAATAATGAATCGACAAGGAGAGAGAAAGAGCATAATAGCACACAAATCAAACACAATGTCAATACAAACATCGATTAATAAATCAACAAATCAATTCAAAGTCATGTCAATAAATCACGTGCAGCAAGTAATCACCAAATAATTAGTTTTGCACTTTCAAGTCAATATGTAAATGCGTGAATGTACAAAAACACAGATATATATAATATACAAAATGGCGACAAGGTTGTGGTGGTGCGATATTCGATTAGAAAATTTTATCTTAGTGTGTAATCATTTATCTCAGATATAAAAGAAAATTCGAAATACGAGTTGACGACCCTCAATGGATCGTTCGTCGCCCGAACCAATCGTAAAAACATAATTGTAATGTATGATAAGCGTTAAGGACGTAGTCGATTATAAAAATATAAACAAAATCGAAGAGAGGACAATCCGAACGCAAATACACGTATATAAAAGTACAGTTAAGCCACGAAAGGGCGGTGTGTGATGGGGTACTCACGTTTTGTGTGTCGATGCCGACTGGGGGCGCGTTGTTGAGATCATTCAGTCGGAGGACGGCTGCTGCGTCTGCGGTGGGGCTTGCCCCTGCGTGCCGGGGGCACCGCCATAACCGTAACCAAAGTTATATTGACCGGCAGCGCCCTGTGGAACGGATGCTGTCTGTCCAGCTTGCGCACCATAATAACCTATATATCAAAATAATGTTAATTTTAACAAAGAAGGATTAATCTTGATAAAAACATACCTGTTTGTCCTTGGTATGCACCGTACGACTGCTGGTAAGCTGTCGTCATCGATGCCTGCGAAGATTGCAGGTTTGGTTGGGTACCAGCTGGCGGTGCAGAACTCTAATAAGTTAAATATTACAAATTAAACACTGCTTTTAGTACTGCTATTAAAATTAAATACTTTGTTTTTCATCTGCGCTTCAATCGCTTCAGCTTCTTTATGTTTGCCCAAGCTACGATAATAATCCGCCCACTGAGCGCTGTAATCTGGTTGACCATTCGCTGCAGGTTGCGCACCTCCTGCGGCAGCAGCGGCCGCTGCTGCTTGTGCAGTTGCTGAGTGCGTGGGATTCGCAGCGTTCGCTAAACTTGGCGTTGGCGCACTGGTAGGTGTGGGACCTTTGGTTTTTGACTACAAATAAACAACAATCGTTAATTTAATCCACATTACCACATTGTAAGCGTAGGTACCTGTTGTTCTATCATCTCTGCTTCTCGATGCATGCCCAGTGATCGGTAGTACTCAGCCCATTGCAGTGAATAATCGGGTTGACCCGTACCTCCTGGCATTTGTACACTGCCGCCAGGTACACCAGCTTGCTGTCCTCCATCGGCACCGTTACCGGCTTGTTGTGGACCGTTCCACTGCTGCTGGAAGCCTGGCACACCCCAACCCTGGGGATTGTAACCCTATTAATCAAAAATAAATATGAAAAAAATAAAATAAATTTAAAAAAGAAGAGTAAACATAGTTTTTAGTTTGAAAAATAAAATAAAAACTTACAGTAGGGAGAGCATTGGAGACATTACCACCCGCCGCAACAAAATTGATGGGTAGTTGAACCTTATCGCTAATAATACGCTTCGCCGCCTCAATTTGCTCCGGCTCGCCACGAATAATAAAAGTTTTGTCACCATTTGGATGTGCTGGTGAGCGCCGATCAAGCTCGCAATGCGCACCCGAATTCATGTTAATCTGCTTTATCGTGTCGCCACCTGAAATAATTCAATTATAAGATAATAATCACAAATCCATTTCGTTTCTTTGTTACCTCGGCCAATAATAACGCCACATTTGGAAGCAGGCACTGTGAACGTTACCTCAGCGGACTGCCGCCGATCATCCCAACCCTGATAATCATTTCCACCATTCCGGCCATTTCCCCGTCCGTCAAACCTGTCTCTGTTGCCTCGGTTGCCGCCACCGTTTCGGCCACCGCCGTTTCCGTCGCCATCACGTCGAATTACACTATCGATAAGCTCCTCTATTCTTTGACGAGCTTGTTCGACATTCTGTGGTTTGCCAGAGAGGTAACACCGCCTCTCGCCGGGTCCCTCGTCTCTGGCTTGTTGGAATTGCACTCTTGCGCCGGTTTCAGCTTGGATTTTCTTTATCATATCTCCTCCCTTGCCGATAACAACACCGACAGCTGCCCGTGGAACTAGTACTTCTACTTCATTGCCGCCTCCTCCGCCACCGCCGCCACCATTACCATAGTCGTTGCCACCTTGGAAACCTTGACCTCCGCGATCACCACGATCGCGACCACCTCCTCCGCCCTGACCTCCACCGCCACTTCCTCCTCGATTGAAAGCCTGCATTTCTTTTTCAGCAATCAGATCGTAAACCAATTGTTTTGCGTATTCTACTTTCGCGGGATCGCCGCTAATGCGTAGAGGTTTTTCCTGTTCTTGATTGGGACCATCTTGAATGACAACCATTTTGGCACCGGAACGTTCCTGTAATTGTTTTATTGTTTCCCCGCCCTTGCCGATTATCAATCCGACTTTCGGGCCGGGAACCATTATTTCCACAAAGTTACGCCCCGCATTGCCATTTGCACCTAGAATAATTGATTGCAATAATTACTTCAAACGATGATTGAATATTTTACACATTTGTTGGAAATAATCGGGTTCAGGAATTCTAGGAGTGGAGGAGAATCCGTTATAACCGTCTGGAGAAATGTGAAATACTGGATACAATCCTGTTAAATGAGAGGAAACAAAACGTGCAAGGAGTTGCTTCGTGCGTGAATTTAGCAAACTTGTGTTTGATATTTTACCCTGTCCAAGTCCGGGTCCAAGATCGAGCCCGGCGATGCCTTCGGAACGTCCGCGCTGGTGCACGATATTCATGATGAGCTCCTTTGCTCTGGTGATAGCCTCACGCGAGCCCGACAACGAGCAAACGCGTTCCGGCTGACCAGCAGAGTCGGGTGCCATCTGAATCTTACAGCCGGACTCGACCTGTAAGCGCGTTATTTGTTCGCCACCCCTTCCTATTACTGTAAAAATATTTATATGCATATGAATACAATTGTATCAAATGAATTCTTAGATAAATTCATGTGCAAACTGATTAAATTACTTGGTAGAGGTTAAGTTAATTAATAAAACTTACTCAATCCAACCATTTTATCAGGGACCTTGATGTCTTCATTAATCTGAGGTCCACCCCCAAGGGCCGGCTGCCCCATACTCTGTCCCATTGGTCTGGGAACATTTCCAACCATTGAAGTTGCTAGTTTCTTGCTATCGGGCTCTAAAATTAATCCCTCTTCTTCTAACGTTAGTGATGATAGAGTTACTTGTAAGTTTAATTTACCTTGCCCATCTTCCAAAGGCCGCTTCTGTCCCGCGCCCGCGGTAGGGTTGATTTTTGCCGCTATCTGCAAGGGTAAACAAAGTTACTAAAACTGCACGACTGACAAACGCGGTGTGCTATAGTGACGAATGATTGTAAAGTGGGTGAAGTATAATTCGCATTCGTTGCAAAATCTTAGCAGGCGAAGCCGGAAGAACGCGGGACTAAAGAAGAATATCGCAGAGGCGTCTTACTTGTTTCGCTCGTTGGAGGGCGGCGGCAAACGCCGACGATGTGTTGAAATTCTGCTGTGGTGGCGGCGCTACCGCTGAATAGTCACTCATCTTTTACATTCACAATGCCGACATGGAAAGTCTTCTATGCTACTCGGAATCTATAACATGGAGTGCGTGCCCACCGTTCGCGTGAAGAACTCCCGTTTTGCTTTTGATAGCGATCGGACAGCGACAGCGTTGTTAGTGACTTTTTTAGTGATTCGCAATACCAACCAACGTTAATTTCCCTCCAAATCAGCGTTCCAATTGCAGAAACCAACTCTTGGCTTTATTAAACCTGTATTATCATTTATATTTGCCCAATATATACAGATATTATTAAATAACTGAAAACAACACCCAAAATTAATTATGAATTAATTTATATTGTTTCTAAACTCGAATAAAATCACATTGTATAATTCAAACAAATGATGCTACCTATGTTGCCACCTAAACACACCCAGAACTGGATTATCTGCTGAATATTTCAGGTTTTGGGAATAAACTGCCAGCTATAATTAAAGACTAATCCAATAAGTTCAATTACTATGAATTATCAACAAATTTAATAAGAGGCTATAGGGACGCTATAATAATCGGCAACGGTGTAAATTCGAGCGATGCGCTCGCAGCGCTTACTAGTCGTACCGCCATTTTGCATCGCATTTGCCAGTACAGCGGCTCCTGAACGCCGCGACGCGAAGACAGCCAACAAGCCAACGGGTCTTACAAAGTTTCACCAGGAAGTTTCGCGCCGATCGCTAACCGCGCATACGGGATTTCAACGCGGCGACTTTCATGTGCATCATACGCCCGCGCGCGTGTCAATGATTTGTGTAAAGTGCGCGCAGCGTTGGTTCCTGGACTTTGAGAAATAAATGTAAATAAATCCCGCTTGGAGTCACCAACGTAACCAACTCAGGTTAGTAAATTGCAGTTCAACAATCGCATCCGTAATTTTTCAATAGATTTTCATCTACAACTATGTATTTGTTTCCATGGTATATAGAAAATTATTCAGAGCGTACGCGTCGAACAAGTGCGTGCGGTTCTCGTTTGTTTTGATTACCGTTGCTTTTTACTTAACCCTATGAGGAACGCCGAAAATTCGATGCGCGACTAGTTGTTTTCTTGGAAACTCTAACAATAAAATATTTAACTTGCATTTGTTTACAATATGATAATATTTGGAATAAACAATAGCGAATACAGCATTATCTTGTTGTTAAATGCAATAATTTTGTTTAGAACCGCTGCAAAATGTCGGAGATAGTTTACCCGCCTGGCTGCAGGCCAATCACAGACGACCTCGGCGCCGACGAGCTCATCCGACGCCTGAAAACCCTCGCGCATACACTCCAGGCCATGGGACAAGACGAGGGCGCCTACCAACAGTACATCCCGCTCGCATTACACCTTGCTGAAGAGCAATTCCTCTCACATCCGTCTCGGGACGTTCAGCTTCTGATTGCCTGCTGCATCGCTGACGTACTCCGCGTATACGCTCCAGAGGCTCCGTATAAGGACACCGATCAAGTGAAAACAATCTTCCTCTTTTTAATCACACAACTATCAGGGTTAAAAGACCCCAAAGACGCCGCTTTCAAGCGATATTTTTACCTCCTCGAAAATCTCGCATATGTTAAATCATTCAACATGTGTTTTGAATTGGAGGATTGTCAGGAGATTTTCTGCGCATTGTTTCATCTGATGTTTAAAATCGTCAACGACGAACACTCCGGCCGAGTGAAGAGTTTCATGTTGGATGTTTTATGTCCATTGATCACTGAAAGTGACATAGTCAGCAATGAGCTTCTGGATATTATCCTGATGAATATTGTTGAGCCAAACAAGACGAGCAAAAAGAACGCGTATTTGTTAGCAAAAGAGTTGGTTGTGAAGACGTCTGACACATTGGAGCCTTACATTCAAGGTTTCTTCAATCAGGTGTTGATTCTTGGTAAAGAAGACAAGACACTTTCAATTTGCGGCAAAGTTTATGATTTGATTTACGAATTGAATCACATTTGTCCGCATATTCTATTAGCAGTGCTGCCACAGCTCGAATGCAAACTGAAAAGCCCTTCGGAGAGTGAGCGTCTAGGAGCTGTGGCGCTTTTGGCGCGAATGTTCAGCGAAAAAGATTCTGAGCTCGCGCGTCGTCACACTCAACTATGGCGTTCGTTTCTGGGTCGTTTCAATGATATTTCTGTCGGAATTAGGACAAAATGCGTTCAGTATTCGATGCATTTCCTGTTAAATCATCCAGATTTAAGGAAGGACATCACAGATACTTTAAAAATGCGTCAGCATGATGCGGAAGAGACTGTGCGCTATGAAGTTGTCATGGCGATTGTTACAACTGCTCGGAGAGATTTCCAAGTGGTGTCTGACAGCGAAGACCTGCTGGAATTCGTCAAGGAGCGCACGTTGGATAAAAAGTTCAAAATCCGTAAGGAAGCGATGAGTGGACTCGCGATGATTTACAGAAAACATCTCTCTGATCCTGACGTGCCGAACGCCACAAAGAAAGCTGTCACTTGGATCAAGGATAAAATCCTTAACGGTTATTACATGGCAGGTATGGAGGATCGTTTGTTGGTGGAACGTCTACTTAACACGTGCCTCGTTCCCTTCCAACTGCCCGCTGCTGAAAGAATGAAGAAACTTTATCATCTTCTTGGAACTGTTGATGATCACGCACGCAAGGCATTCATGGAGTTGCAGAAGAATCAACTCTGTGTGAGGAAGCTTGTCCTCGAATGGCTTGATTTGCATCGACGTCCATCAACATCTGATGTAGCTAAAGAGTCGATGAGTAAAGTAACTTCTCTGTCGCGATGTCTGCCAGAGCCTGTCAAAGCAAACGAATTTCTGACGAAGTTTTCTAATCATCTTAGAAAAGATGCAGCGCTCTTGGATGCGATGGATACAGTCGCTCGGCCGTCGGTTAGTTGTCAAGAATGTTCTGAGGCTACTGCGAGCGTATTAAAGAAGCTCGGCCAGCCGGTTATGACGAATTTGTACTACAACACAGTGAAGATGCTTCTGGAGAGAGTTAGCAGTGTAATGGTTGATCACAATGCAATTAAACTACTTGTAGGCTATGTGGATGATTGTTTGCGTGGAGGGAACACGGTCGAAGAAGTTGGGTTACACCCAGCGACTGCTGGCGACCGCGGATTGAAACTGCTTGTCATGTTGAGTAGTGTTTTCCCATCGCATTTTCATCATACGGATGTTTTGGAGGAGTTGATGGAGATGTTGAATATTGAGGATGAAAATGTGGCGCCTTTAGTTCTTAGCGTTTTCACTTGGTTAGGAAAATATAAAAGTTTATGTAAGTAAACATAGATAATTGAGTTTAATTGTAATTTGTATTTATTTTGTGTGTTTTATGTTTATAGCTGAAGATTTCCCGCAACTGATGGAGTCTCTCGCCCCAATGTGTAAAAACTTTGCTGAAACCGGCACACCAAAGCAGGCGAAACAGGCTATCCGCTGTATATACGTGAATATGGTCGATTTGCACGATACGCTATTCCCTGCCATCCTAGAAGCAACGAAGAACAACTTGGAGCCGCAGAATTTATACTATCGCACGGCGATTGTCACTTTGGGTCATATTGCGTTCAACGTGCCCGAAAAATGCAAAGTTCAAATCAAAAATATTGTTTCCCGAAAGGTAAACTAACAAATTTCACATTATTGCATTATGTAACTTTGTTTTATTTTATTTCACAGATTGTAAAAGAATTGTTGGTGAAAGATGTCAAAGATGGCGAAGAATGCCACGATATGGAAACGACGTGGTGCTCCGAAGACGACCTACCCGAAGAAACACGCTGTAAAATCGAAGGTCTCAAAGCAATGGCTCGTTGGCTGCTTGGGCTGAAACAAGATATTGCATCCGCGCAGAAAACATTCCGCATGCTTAACGCATTCATTCTACACAAGGGTGATTTGCTGCAATCAGGCAAACTATCTCCGGCGGAAATGTCCTGGTTGCGCTTATCCGCCGGTTGCGCGATGCTGAAAGTATGCGAACAGAAAGGCGTTGGTGATCAGTACACCGCCGAACAATTCTACAACCTCGCTACGCTGATGACGGACGAGGTGAAGCAAGTACGCGAATTATTTGCTGCTAAACTACATAAGGGTTTGTGCCGCGGCTTGCCGAATAAATGCCTACCCTTGGATTTCATGGGCTACTACGCCCTTGCCGGCAAGGAACCCGATAATAAGCTGAAACAGACTATCAAAAACTACATGGTGGCCGATATCAATAAGCGGCGTGATTGCGTCAAGACGTTGACAATGGGCGCGGGACAAATCGACAAGGCGATGAGTGAATTGCCGCACATACTGCCCGATTACATGCTGGTGTTTGCCATCCCAGTACTAGCGCATGATCCTGCTTTCTCCAAGTGGGACGATGTGAATGATTTGACGAAGGCGAGATTGTGCCTCTGGTTTATTCTCGAGCCGCTTATTAGCAAGAGCGAGTACTTTAGCTATGGATTTTACAAGAACTGCATCGAGCGTATGAAGAATCACAAGGATTCACTACGACCTGATGATGATTCAATAAATTACGTAAGTTATAATTTAAAAAAACTTTGTCAAACATAATTAACGTGTTTTTTCCTTCTTTTTAATAGAAATTATGGGCGTTATGCGATTTAACGAGCGGATTGCTCCTGACGAAGACGTTACACTACGACATGAAGGACTTCCCGTCTGACACACGAATACCTGCGATGTACTTCACACCGCAGACAGATTTCGTCAACGCGAGAGTATTCCTCCCGCCAGAGTTGCAGTATCAACCGAAGAAGACCGGCATCACACTGTCAATGATCAACGCCGAGCGAAACAAGAAGGTGAAGAATAAGCACACCAAGCTGGAACCCTGTGGGCCGCTAGGCACAGACGTCCAAGTAAGTTTATTTTGTTTATTTTCTTTAGTAATCATTAGTTTTAATGGCAACATTATCATTATATTTGTCATACGTGCAAAAATAATTGTGTTTTAATTGTGCGCAAGCAGCCGCCTCAAGTATTAATTAAAGGAATAGATGCCCAGGTAAAAACACACGTTTGACATTGCTGTATTTTGAATTGTGTGTGTTTGATAATGTTATGTACATAAATGTGTGTTTTATTATAGCCTTCAGAAGCGTCGGAAACGAAGATACAAGTCCCGGGTCTGGAAGACATCGACGAGCCGCCGGCGAAGCGTCTACGCGAGCGAATAAAACTTGAGATGGATAAGTGACCGGATGCCTCATTGTAAATATGGATTGTATTTCTAAACAAGTTAAATGATAACTACCGATAGTCGATCTCCTTTTTTTCTACGTTTTATTTGTAACGTCTGTCGACAGTCGCATGTAATTTCCACACAAAGCAGTATATTCCGACGAAAGAGAACAATAACAGAAATAACTATACACTGTTATTTGAATTCTCTGATTGTGTATTTGAATGAAGACAGTAATTTTAATATCGCGAGGAGGACACATTAACTCAACTGTACTGTACAATAAGAGAAAGATAGTGCCGAATGGATTTGGGGGTGAGAGTACGAAAGAGGGTGGTTCGTTTCTGGTAAACGCAACTATTATATTCCTTGAACGTTTTGTTCAAAAAGCCGAAAGAAGTACCCGCTGTGTTTTTTTCATTTTTATCATACTATGATGATTTCTAGTTTAAGTTGTACAATGATTCATCTATTAAGTTAGCTTAAAATGTAAGTTTTACGGACACTCAACACAAACACATTTACATCTTTTCATTATTATGTATTTATTTGGTTGTATTGGATTGGTGTAAATGATTACAATTTGCTCTTTTATGTTCAGTGTAGTTTTATCTTATGTTATTTCGAATGCGTTCATTTTCCATCCCGATTATGTAATTTACATTTGGAGAAATATTTTTTTTACAAATGTATACTTAAGAGTAAAAAAACTATACATAAACAATTTGTGGATTGCATTATTACGAGATTGATAACCTTGATGGTATCTTTATTTATAAATAATAAGAGCTTTTGTTCTAACTTCCGATGAAATGATTCAGATCAAGCTTTGTTTCAAGTGTTTATTACAATCGATTATGACAAAAAGTGGAATCCGCTTTTAAGAGGTTTGTCGCGAGTCAGATAACGCGCGGAATAATCCCCGGAGCATGTTCTCTATAAATGTATGTGTCCGGATATTGGCGTGCAACTTGGCAACCAAATTCGGTGAGTTTACATCACACTACGGATTATTACATATATTTCGGTTGGCGAGTGAGTGCTCGCCTTGGGCGAAAGTTCGGAAAGACCGCGTGCGGCTTCTCGTTCGTCAAATTGCGTAATAGTTTCTGTGTGCGTAAACTTTCACCTGTCATTCCCCTCGCATCGCAGCCTTGCTGCAGCGGGAAGTGGAAGTTTGGAGTGGTCACATTTTCGCGCAAGTTTCACATTCAACAATGAATGTTCTAACAAACGCGACGCTTTGATGTAATATTGCAATACAAAATAAAAATAGTTTGCGCGTGAAAGTGTTTACAAGAAGTTACGTTTTAAATTAACATATTATGTTTAGTTTCAATTGAAGTGAGTAAAAACTCCGCGCGTTTCTATATTCTATACAAGTTGCGGATTTGTTCTATTCGTGTGCAGCGCAGTGAATCTATCGAGGTCTTTTCTTATTTTCTCATTGCAACGCGAAAGGCATAGCTAACAATTTCAACCTTGCGCCGAGTGGAAAATGAGCACAAGCTGCTTGAGCGCTGATGCGTGATGACCACAGCTTCATACATTAGAATCGAAAACTTTAGTTCCAAAACTCATCAATATTTATTTTCGTAGATATTTTAAAATATTCTCTAAAGTGAAGCTGAATAGAAAGTTTGCAGCCGTGGATTATCTTCAATTTTTGACCTTTTAACATCATCGCCCGAACACAACATGAAAGATTCCACATCAAGTAAGTAGTTAATCTAAGATAATCAACTTTTATTAATACTAATTGCTTCTAACCATTGCTAAATTGCATTACCTTGATTTTTAGATTTCGACGCTGAAAAATTCGTGGATAATTTAATAAATAACGGAGCACGAGTGAACTGTGACAATACAAATGATAAATACAACGAATATAAATTACCTGCTGATTTTGACGAAGAGAAATTTAAACGGTTTGAATAAAATAATTTGGTTTTTATTTTTTTACATGTCTATAAATTCGTAATATTTACAGGGGACAAAAATTCTATCATGACAACATATTTATGCTCTTCATGGGAAAGTTGACTGGGCTAGTGACGATTTTATCCATACCATCAATTTTAAAAATACTTGTTTTTACTAATATGTCTGCCACAACTTATACCTCCTACAGGCGTTACATGGCGACCATTTTTCACATGAATGTTTGGTATACGGATGATTTTAAACCTGGATCAGAGTAAGTTGGTGGTAACAACTGTTTTAAACCGAAAAAATACTTAAAATGTTTAATTTCTTTTATTCTCTAACCTGTAGTGTTACAATTTTACTTTATTAAGGTTGGGAAAGTTAAAAGATACTTAAATAAGTAAAATAAATTTAAATATTTTTAGTTTGTGGAAATCAATGACAGATGTGCGAAGAAAACACAACACAGCAAGTAAACGCAGCGCTTGTGTTGGTGCCAATCGCATATCACAGTTGGACATGGCCATCACTCAATTTGGTTTCATGGGATACGCTTTGACCCACCCGGAAAAAATAGGACTTTTTCATCCAGACCCGGTTGGATTAGAAGGTTTTGTTTACCTATGGAGAATCATCGGTGATTTAATGGGAATTGAAGATCAATTCAACATCTGTCGTCATTCTGCTGAGGATACGCGTGCTGTCTGCCAGCTTATTATCGAAAAGCAATTGAGAAAGTATGCTGAACAACGAGATCCTCTCTTTGTTAAAATGGCGAGCACTTTGGTTGAAGGCATGCAAGTTATGCAACCGTTCTTGTGTCCCGGATTAACACTAGTCGTTATCTTAAGATTGGTATCGCCAGGAAGTCAACTTTTAAAGGAGGAGATGGCTAAACTAAACAAGGATCAATTATGGTCTTATAACTTTGAACAACTTGTAATAAATTCATGCCGGCATTGGTTCTGGAGATGGTATTTGAATATGACATTGCACGTATCACTCTGGTTGATGAAATATTTTCCATTTTTGGCGTTGTGGAAATACGGCCGTAAAGATGGCTACGTACGGATTTTAGAAGAACCGGCGCCATCTTTGAGAAATGTTTACCAATCTGGTTAGTCACGGGTTGGAAAATTCGCTTGGTATTTAATTATTTTGTTTATAAAACAAGATTGACGCTTTAAAATTTGTTACAACACAACATATTTATATTAAACAATGTTCTATGATTAAAAATCTCGTAAAACTTCATCGAAGGCACCGAGCATCATCTCCACATCGACATTATTTTCTCTTTCAGCAATAATACTAGCGCTGGGCAATTCTGACGGTCGACAGGCTATTGGTTTCTCACTGAAGAATTTGTGATGCAAAGCCTATAAAAATATAGTTCAATTTCGTTAAATTTAAATATTTAGATGTTAACATACTGCTTTTGCGCTTAATCGTCGTTCTTGATCGTAAACAACAAAACTTTTAACAAAATTCCTTGATTCGACGGTAGCTTTAGGTAAAATTGTATTCCAACTAGACCCAGCATTTCGTGCAAATGTTATTTTATTATAATCTGGGAGTTCAGACAATCCAGGCCATGTTTCTTCCGATGGTGTACCAAGTGTATGCAACACAATTGCAAGTTGTTCAATATCAGTCTCACCCTAAACATAATATTTTTATTAAACTTCTCAAACTAAAAATCTATCTGAGGCAACTCTACCGGAAATAATGGCGATCTATTAATCATTTCCGCTGCAATGCATCCAACTGCCCACATATCAACAGAATTTGTGTATTTTCGTGCTCCGTACAACAATTCCGGTGCACGATACCACCGTGTTGCAACCTGATGGGAGTATAAGCGGTCTGGTTCATTTTCCACGTAGATTCTCGCCAAACCAAAGTCTCCGATTTTTAAAACACCGTTATTAGATATAAGCAAGTTTGTGGGCTTTAAGTCGCGATGCATGATGTGGTTTTCATGCATATACATCACGCCTTCCAAGAGCATCCAAAGATACGCTTTTATTTTCGGTAGATCGAGTTCTTCTCGGAGAAATTGCATCATAAGGTGTAGATTAGCGGGTAAGTATTCCATGACTATGACAAGGCCCATTCCAAGTGGGACTACATCGGTTAATTTGACTATCTATAAAAGTATTGTATGTAAACTTATGTAAATTTGATTAATCGAATTTAATATTACGTTTTCATGATTGAGGACTTTGAGTGTTGTAATTTCTCGAACCAGATTTTTGGGTATTCCCTCATCGAGGTTTTTGATAACTAGTTTTTTTAGAGCTACATTTTGGTTGTCGAAGCGGTCGATTCCTTTCATCACGTATCCATGCGCACCTTGACCAATACGACCAATAATTTTATACCGATCCATTTTACTTTTTATTTACCTTCACTTAAATTGTACATTTTTATTGTATATCTGCAAGTAATCGTTTTTACACTGTTTGTTTGTATTGTAAAGTTTAATTGATTGTTTCTCGTACGAAAGAAAAGTAAAATTATAAATAAATTTATTTAATACTGTAAAACTAGAATAAATAAGTATAAAATTTATATTTTCTAAGTTGAGCCACAAAAAATAATACGGCAAAACCAGAAATTCAAATTTACTTCAGAGAATTTAAATTTTTGCGGTGACAATGTCATTGTCGCCATTTTCTAGTTCAAAGCAACATTTAAAATACGAATAAAACTACAAAAACGCATTCTTTGTATTGATTTAAAATAAAATAATAAATACTTTTGAAAAGAAGACAGTAATTCGATTTGACATTATTTTAAAATCTTCATCAATGTGTAGCGAAAAATCATTTGCGGTGTTATGTAACATGCGCGCTGTGCGCAAGCGTCGCGTTTTTGACTAGCGCTGTACTCTCGCTCGAACAATCCGGCAGGAGCTGTCGTCGATCCGCCGTCTACTCCATCTTTTTCAGCTGCTCCGGTCGAGTTTAGTACAATAGTGTAAGGTAAAATGTCTCTGCTGTCAGCGCGTATCGCCGCCTCCGTGGCCAGGAACCTGCCGAGCACCGCCTCGAAGGTAAGATTGCAATTTCCAGCCGAAATTCGGCGTACTTCATCGATATCACGTTCTCATTGAAATCGCCTAGCCTACACTAGTGACATAATCACGTAACGAAGTCATTCAATGGTTACTCGTGGAAGCCTTTTAAACTCATGTATGGTTCGATAAAATGACTTCTTTAACATCTCGTATTTACTGGATTTATCTCCGGTTCCTACGGGAATATACTTTCTTAATATTAGGCAGCCAGACTTCATGTGTTATGTCCATGTGTTATGTAACGGTGAATGTGTACGACGGCACTTGAATGAAGATTTTGTTGAATTTAGGTTGCTGCCGCCGCCCTGCCAACCACCGCGGTTGCCGCCCGCAAACTTCACTTGACATCGCAGAAATGCGGCGCCGAAATCAGCTCCATTCTCGAGGAGCGCATCCTTGGCCAGGCCCCCAAGTCTGACCTCGAGGAGACCGGCCGCGTGTTGAGCATTGGTGATGGTATCGCTCGTGTCTATGGTCTGAAGAACATCCAGGCTGATGAGATGGTGGAATTCTCATCTGGTCTTAAGGTACAAATACATATTTAAGTCACTTATTTTATCTTATGTAACTCTTAGTGAATCTTTAGACCTAGAAGTGATAGTAATCTAATATTTTTGCTTTATTTTGCTTTTAGGGTATGGCCTTGAATTTGGAACCTGACAACGTTGGTGTTGTAGTCTTCGGTAACGACAAACTCATCCGTGAAGGTGATATTGTCAAGCGTACCGGCGCCATTGTCGATGTGCCAGTCGGCGAACAGATCTTGGGTCGCGTCGTTGATGCTTTGGGTAACCCCATCGACGGCAAAGGTCCATTGGACACCAAGACCCGCTTCCGTGTGGGTATCAAGGCTCCTGGCATCATTCCCCGTGTGTCTGTGCGCGAGCCTATGCAGACTGGTATTAAGGCCGTCGATTCGCTCGTACCCATTGGTCGTGGTCAGCGTGAGTTGATCATTGGTGATCGTCAAACCGGGTAAGAATTTATACTTTTATGAAAAAGAATTTATTCTAAATATTTTTGCTGAAATTTATAGCAAAACTGCCCTGGCTATCGACACCATCATCAACCAGCAGCGTTTCAATAACGCTGATGAAGAGAAGAAGAAGCTGTACTGCATCTACGTCGCCATTGGTCAGAAGCGTTCCACCGTCGCTCAGATCCTTAAGCGTCTTACTGACGCCGGTGCCATGAAGTACACCATCATTGTGTCTGCTACTGCCTCTGATGCTGCTCCTCTGCAATACTTGGCCCCATACTCTGGCTGCGCTATGGGAGAATTCTTCCGTGACAACGGCAAGCACGCTCTCATCATCTACGACGATTTGTCCAAGCAGGCCGTTGCTTACCGTCAAGTAATTACAATTATTTCGGTTTTTTTGCACAAATATTTAATGTTTGTATGATTTATTTCCATTCTCAGATGTCTCTGTTGCTGCGTCGTCCCCCAGGTCGTGAAGCTTATCCCGGTGATGTCTTCTACCTTCACTCCCGTCTGCTTGAACGTGCGGCTAAGATGTCCGACGCTCACGGTGGTGGCTCTCTCACTGCCCTCCCCGTCATTGAGACCCAGGCCGGTGACGTATCGGCGTACATTCCAACCAACGTCATTTCTATCACTGACGGACAAATCTTCTTGGAAACCGAGTTGTTCTACAAGGGTATTCGTCCCGCCATCAACGTCGGTCTTTCCGTATCTCGTGTCGGTTCCGCTGCGCAGACCAAGGCCATGAAGCAGGTCGCCGGTTCCATGAAGTTGGAGTTGGCGCAGTATCGTGAGGTTGCCGCTTTCGCCCAGTTCGGCTCTGACTTGGACGCCGCCACCCAGCAGCTGTTGAACCGTGGTGTACGTCTTACTGAACTCCTTAAACAGGGTCAGTACGTGCCGATGGCCATTGAAGAACAGGTTGCCATCATCTACTGTGGTGTCCGCGGTCACTTGGACAAGGTCGACCCCGCCAAGATCACCGCTTTCGAGAAGGAATTCTCCGCACACATCAAGTAAGAATTTGATTAATAAACTACATTTATAGTTTAATTATTTTTACTAATTCAATATATTTGTGTTTTAATAACTTAGGTCGAACTATCAATCACTGTTGAGCACCATTGCCAAGGAAGGTATGATCAGCGAGTCATCCGATGCGCAACTGAAGAAGGTCGTGACAGACTTTGTATCGACATTCGCCGCGTAAACGCGTTGATACCATATTTTAACTAATTTAGTTCATAGGGCTGAATACAATTGATTATCTAGTACACGTTCATCCTCCAATCATGGAAAATGCGATTTTGTTCTAAGCGATATGTCATGCAGGGCACTTAAACAGCAGTAACTATGTAAAGAAAAACTTGTAACTTGTCTATTGTGTTGATTTACTGTTAATGAAAGGAGTGGACAAGACAACATGAAGCAAAATGCGAAAATATAAACGAAAAGTCGAAAGAATAAATGTGAGTAAGGCCGAAATATCAGTTTTTATTTTATTTTGCTGAGAGCATGAAATCCAAATTACAAAAATGTAATGTGAGTTGTTTTATCTTTAGTTTTGAGCTTTCTGTTCCTTTCCTAAGCGTCCACTTGAATTGACTTCATGCATTATCTCAAATAAGCAGGCAGTGAGAGGGCATAAACATGTGCATTTCTAAGAAAGCAAAGTTTGGTAATTTATGGCAACCCACTTGACGGATACAATCCATTCTAACACGGTCGAAATTTTTAACCTTTTTATATTGGTCTGAAATGTTTACTGCTCGCTTCAGAATTCTTGAAGATTGTAGTGCTCTGTGACAAATTTCCGAGCGGTTGTTTATTTTCCTGACGCATGCACTTCTCGGCGTGTTCTTGTCAGCATATTTTAAACCTCCCGGTTCGTTGTTTGTGTCATTTAGTTATCGCTTCCTTGAAAAATCACTCCTCTGATTGGTGCGTTGAACTGGTAGCGTATTCTGATTGGTCTCAGTCGCCGGCTGCGCGCAGAACGTTCGCGCGGTTCAAGTCAGCTCTTGTTTTTTTGCGCGATTTCTACGCTGCTCTTTCGTGCTGCGATCGTTGTAAGCGCTGGACAGCGAAGGTCGTGCCACAAAGGTTTCAGCATCAACTTCTATATTTCGTGAACTTGGTAAGTAGAGATTGTTTCTGGAATTTTACTTGTTTGTTAACAGTTTAACGGATAAGCAAGCGTTGCCTGTTATCACGAATCGTCAGCCTCTACAATATCAAACAGCTCTACATCAATCTTGTAGCGGTCACTTTCGTACCAGACCGCCAAGCGTAAACACGTGGTTTTCTAGCCATGAAGTAACGATTTGCTACCAGTTTGGTTCACAATTATTCTAATAACATCAATTGTTGCTGAGATCATTAATTTTGTTTGTTTGTCTAATACGATTTTGAGGTTTTGGTAATTGTTATTATTTCGGTAGCTCGACAATAAAAAAAGATCATGGACGAGGATTGGGGAGATGACAATACCACAACTCAGAATGTAGGTTGTATTTAATGGCCAATAATTATAAACTATACTCAAATTTATAAAATAGGGCTTTGGAGGCAGCAATTTCTCCAAGGGTAGAGGCTACACAATAGACAAGAATGATGCTGATGAAGACTGGGGGTCAAACAGCAATGGTAAGTTGTTGATTTCACTTTTCCTGTGTTTGTAATCATGTAGGTTTTTAATAACACATTAAAAAACAAAACACAACCTAAGATTATCACATTGTTGTTGTTTGTTCAGGTTTTAATTCAAATAATGGTTTTGGCGGTGGTGGTGCACCTCGACGCGGTGGCCGTGGAGGTGGAAGAAGTTTTGGTCGTGGAGGACGTGGTGTTGGCCGGCGAAACTATGATGATGCCGACCAGAACGGTTTCGGTGGTCGAAGTGGCGGCGGCGGCGGCGACGATTGGGGTGATAATAGAAGTAATGGCTTCGAAAATAATGACGATGATGGCGCCTTTAGGGGCGGTAGAGGTCGTGGACGCGGCCGTGGCTTTGGTGGAGACCGAGGTGACAGACGTGGTGGCCGTGGAGGCCGTGGCGGCGGTCGCGATGGTTTCGGAGCCGGAGATGGTTTTGGCGATGAATTCGCCGAAGGCGGTGGTGAAGGAGAAGAAAAGAAACCACCTCGTTCGACATATATTCCGGAAGAAGCAAACGATGCTGAATTACAGGACACTGGCATAACTAGCGGCATAAACTTTGATAAATATAAAGATATTCCTGTTAATGTAAGTAAATTATTTAGTTCAGTTAGTAATTTTATACTTTTAAATTTTGTGAATTATTTCAGACGTCCGGTGAGAACGTGCCACCTGCCATAATGTCATTCGATGAAGCCGGATTCCGTGAAGTTGTGCGGAAGAATGTCACAGTAGCTGGTTACACCAAATTAACACCAATCCAACAGTATTCTATTCCGATCATCATGGCCGGGCGAGATCTCATGGCGTGCGCCCAAACTGGTTCCGGCAAGACTGCCGCGTTCTTACTGCCCATTATTAATAGTCTTCTAGAGAACCAACGCGATCTCTTGGTGGAAGGCAACTGTATCACACCACATTGCGTCATCATCTCACCGACGCGCGAACTTACTACTCAGATCTATGATCAAGCTCGTAAATTTGCCCGCACGAGCATCATTAAAATCTGCCAGGTTTACGGCGGGACGCAGGTGTTCCATCAACGCAACAAATTAGTTGGCGGTTGTCACATTCTAGTTGCTACGCCCGGTCGTCTGCTCGCATTTGTGCGCGACGGATTGATCAATTTCTCAGCGACACGTTTTGTTGTCTTGGATGAGGCTGATCGAATGCTTGATATGGGTTTTCTGCCTGATGTCGAGACGGTGATGAGGCACCCGACAATGAACAGTGGCAACCGCCAAACTTTAATGTATTCGGCCACGTTCCCCGAAGAGGTGCAAACGTGCGCCGGTCAGTATCTCAACAATTATATCTTTGTCAGTATTGGTATCGTAGGAGGCGCGTGCGCTGACATCGAGCAGACTTTTATTCAAGTCGAGCGTTTTAAGAAACGCGAAGTGCTTCTAGAGTTGCTCAACGAGCACGGCACGAAAGGCACGGTGATTTTCGTCGATACAAAGCGCAATGCTGATTTTCTCGCTGTGAATTTGAGTGAGAATCAAATGCCGACAACAAGTATTCACGGTGATCGTCCACAACAAGAGCGCGAAGCAGCACTGCGCGACTTTCGCTCCGGTCGGAAGCACATCCTGGTAGCGACCGAGGTCGCAGCACGCGGTTTAGATATCAAGAACATTATCCATGTTATAAACTACGATATGCCAAAGGATATCAATCAGTACGTACACCGGATTGGTCGTACCGGGCGCGTGGGCAATCGCGGCAAAGCTACGACGTTTTTCGAGTCCAGCGACGATTCGGCTATGGCAAAGCCGTTATCGCTTATTTTGAAAAGTGCAGGCCAGCCAGTTCCGGACTTTATTGCTGCCGCTGCTTCTGGTTATGGAGGCTATGGCGGTGGTGATGGTAATTCCGGCTTTGGTGGCACAGATATTCGCGACGGCTTGGGTGAAGCCACTCAACATGAAGAGGTGGAAGAGGTCTGGTAGATTATAGGCACAGAATATTTGCGTTTCTCCGTTTGATTTTTAATACTTGTTCTTTATTCCTAAGGTCTCATGGTTTTAACATGATGACATATATTTACCAGTTAGCATTTAAAGTGTTTTAAACTCTAGACTTCTAGAGCGTTATATTTTTGACCAGTTTATTGTTTTAAGAATGTATTTTTGTTGTTTGCAAGACTGAAGGTGAAGTTGAACTTAAGTTGGTAAGATATGAGAGGTGGATTGTTGGAAAATTTGATGATTGTTAACCAAACGAAGATTGCATACGGTGTGTTTTTTTTAATATGAGAGAAGAGATATATTTTCAATAATATGATTCCGAAATTTGTAATACCAAATTAGCAATGTTACAATTAAATTTTTTTATAATATCTGGTAGTTTCGTTCTTAGATAATTGCCGATTTATCTCGTGTCTATTTTATAGTCTAGAATTAATTAATCAAAAAGAAAATGGAGCATTTTTTCTCGAATTTCAAAAAAATTTAAAGCAGAACCTCAAAAATACAGGAAATTGCTCAAAAGTAAGTCGATTTCAATTTCTAGAATTGTACGACCTTGTTTTTGTTTACTTAATTGTTTATAACTTTTGTTATTATCATTTCCAGATATTGATTTTCGACTAAACAATTTCTTGATACAATTATAAACTAAATGACACCTCGATCATATTTTTCGGTGATTCTTAGCTAGAAGAGTAAACGAGACTTTTGAAGCAGACTACGCGGTTTTAATAGGGGCCTGGTTCCAAATCCACAGATTAAAACCACAATTTATGAGCATAAAATGTAAATATTATACATTGTAATGTAATCGGTCATGGTATAACATTTTTAATTCTTTTTAAGTACTGAGAACACTTGAAATATCACTTATCATACTAGAGGTAATTGATTTGGCAAGTGATAAGAAGGCGCAACGCGCTACGAGTAAAACAATCAGCACATGTTTATAATTCTCATTGGAGACAGAACACCTGCAAACGATTAGAATCAATCGTTGATTCATTATTATCGTTCGATTAGTCTGTCAGACACCTGTGCCACCTGCTTATCCAAATATTTTAAAAGTTGCTGGAGCACACATTGTGTTCACTCGACTGCAATGCTGTGTGCGAACACATCCAGCCGACAATTCATTTGATATTCATTTCTTCACCATGTGTAAGTCTCAACGGGGAATGGAATACAAATTTTTTTACATAATTTGCTTGTTTTATATACAGATTTAGTAAAAGTTACCATTTTGCTTACCATGTGTTTCATGGGAGCTTATGGTGGTAGTTGTGCCATGTATGGGTTGTGTCGGCCTAAGGAGGGTCTCAATTGTAATGACGATTCAGGTCCATTTCCGCTACAAGCTGAGGAAGGTGCCAAACAGGAAGCGCTGCGAAAGTTTCGCGCCATGTGTCCGGTGCTCAACGAAGAACTGAACAACGCCGAAGACCCGGCTCTGTGCTGCGACTACGACCAAATGCAAAATTTCATCAGGCTGGCGGCCATGTCGGATGTATTCTCACGTTGTCCCACGTGCCTGCGTAATTTACTGCAACACATCTGCCAGTATGCGTGCGGACCTGAGCAGGGTCGGTTTGTTAAAACCAAGAGTGTTATAATGGATGGTGTGGAAGTGGTAGAGTCCATTACCGTAAGCCTTTCATACGAGTACATGAACGATACGTTCGAATCCTGCAAACATGTTGCTTTACCCTCCAGCGGTGGATTGGTACTGGAGGCGTCCTGCGGCGTGCATGGAGCTGCAAATTGCAATCCAGAAAGAATGTTTAAGTTCATGGGCGAGGAGAGCGGGTTTGGACCATTCCCTATTTACTTCCACGACAGCAGAGCTCGAGATTTTAATCCAGAACAAGCATTAATGTTGACGGCCAAGACCTGTGACGATAAGTATGCTGGAGATGAGTTTCCCTGTGGATGCATCGATTGCGTTGAGAGCTGTTCGTTGGATTCATACGAAGCTGAAGAAGCTGGTTTTGAAGTGGGCGGTTTCAATGGGTGGTCTTTTATCGCTGGAGTTACTTTACTTGGATGTGTTGTATTGGGCCTTTGTATTACCTTTGTTATTTCAAGACAAATAGAGAGTAGGAATGCTGGAAAGTTGGCTAGGATGGATAGTATCAGCAATGTAAGCGCAGCCGACGTCGAAGATGTTGGAAAAGTCAACAAAATGCACAAACTTTGGGAAGCACTGTTTAGAATATTAGCTGAGAGTACGTTTTCTTTCTTTTTTAAACACTCATATTCTAAACAAACTTTTTAATTGATTTTCAGCAATTGCAAGGAACAGTTGGCTGACAATCTGTTTATCATCTTGGATAGTTGTCGCGCTGTGTTACGGAGCGTTGAGTTTGAACGTTACCACCAATCCAGTGGAAATTTGGGCGTCTGCCGACAGTCGTAGTCGAATTGAGAAAGACTTCTTCGATGAGCACTTTGGGCCGTTCTATCGCACCAATCAGATTTTTATCAAACCCGTTGGAGTCTCTTCGGTAAGTAACATTTTACCCAAATTCTAACAATAACAATTCTAATTGATCAAATTTTACTTATTTAGTTTAACTACTCTTACCACAACGTGTCACTAGTGGTCGAAGTAGGACCAGCGTTTGATAAAGACTTTTTGCTGGAAGTTTTTGAGTTACAGAAGATCATCGAAGATATTCAGTTAGATGATGGTACTACGCTAGCAAGTATCTGTTATTCTCCGATGTCGAGTGCATTTACTCCACCGGTAGATATCAACGCATGCACGGTGCAATCAATTCTTGGACTGTTTGAAAACGATCTGGAAAAGTTTAAAGATAATGAAAGATATGTCGAAAAAATGTTGAAATGTGCAACGTAAGAATTTATTTTCGACTGTAGAAGTTTATAATATAACTAATTTGGTGTTAATCCTACAGGAGTCCATATAGTCCGGACTGTCTTGCACCTTATGGAGGACCAATTGAACCAGGCTTGGCTTATGGTGGAATGGAATCTGCCAGCTATGTAGATGCGCGTGCTGTTGGACTTACTTTTCTTGTAAATAACAAATTGGATGCTAAAGAATTGGAACCTGCGCTAAATTGGGAAGAAAAGTAAGCAAAAGCGCATGTCAAAATACCCAAAATGTGACTGTCACTATTAATGAATATTTTTATTTCAGATTTATTGAAGTCTTGAAGGATTGGGTAGCAAACCAGCCATCAGACAGTCTCTTAGATATTGCTTTCAGCGCAGAGCGCTCCGTTGAAGACGAAGTCGCGCGTGTGTCCGAGTCGGAAATGTCTACGATCATTATCAGTTATTTAGTTATGTTTGCATACATTGCGATTACTCTCGGACACATCAACTCGTTTCGTACAATCCTGCTTGATTCAAAGTTGGTGCTTGGCATTGGAGGTATAGTTATCGTACTGTGTTCGGTGGGTTGTTCTCTTGGTGTTTCCGGATACGCGGGTATTACCACAACGTTACTCACCGTCGAAGTGATTCCGTTCCTTGTACTTGCGGTTGGGGTGGACAATATATTTATCATTGTTCAGACGCATCATCGTTTATCTAATCTCAAGTAAGTAATTTATTGGGTTTTACACACATTTATTCATAGATATTATTGTTTATATCTAGAGAGAATCAAGATTTGGATGTGGCCACACAAATTGGAAAAACAATGGCGACTGTTGGTCCAAGTATGTTATTAACCAGCGTGTCTGAGATGATTTGTTTTGCAATTGGAACTCTGTCGGACATGCCAGCGGTGCATACATTTGCATTTTTTGCAACCATTGCGCTGTTGTTTGACTTTTTACTGCAGATTACTGCGTTTATAGCTTTGTTAGCAATAGACGAACGGCGTTACAAGGTAAACCTTTTGCAAATTGTTTGCCTATAAAAACTATAATTATCTGCATGTTTAGGAAAACCGATGGGATTTTTGTTTCTGCGTAAAACAAGAACGCTCCGATGGGCTGACATTCAGTGAAGGATGGTTTTTTAAAGCGTGGAAAAAATACTACACACCTTTCATAATGTCCAAACCAATGCGGTATATAATTGTGGTCATATTTGCTGCCTGGTTTGGATTCAGCATTGTGGTCGTCCCTTCAATTAATGCCGGATTAGATCAAGAACTATCAATGCCAGAAGACAGCCACGTCTTAAAATATTTCAACGTAAGCCATAATATTTGTTTTTAATTAGAAGTGTAACTTCTAATTCTAATGTTTTTGATAGTACATGAAAGAATTAATGGGTATAGGCCCACCTGTGTATTGGGTAACAAAAGGCAATATTGACTATTCCAACGAAGAAATACAAAATATTTACTGCGGGGCTGCTGGCTGTTCGTCATCTTCTGTAACAACGCAACTCTTTTCCGTGTCACAGCAAACAGAGTTGACTTACATTGCTCGCCAGGCGTCTTCATGGATGGATGATTTTGTCGACTGGAGTAATGCTGAAGAATGCTGCCGTATGTTTCCTGGTAATGCCTCCTTCTGCCCGCATCAAACGCCCGGCTGTGATCAGTGCACGTTCCGAAAAGAAAACGACAATCGGCTTGACTATTTCCATAAACATTTACCATATTTCTTGAATGACAATCCTGACACAAATTGTGGCAAAGGTGGCCATCCAGCGTATGGCGATGTAAGCATCCTAATACGATTGCTAATGCCTAATTTATATTCTGACTTTGATTTTGCAGGCGCTAAATGTGCACGTGAACGAAACCGGCCATGTTACAATTGAAGCCTCGTATCTCATGTCATACCACAGTGTCTTAAAAGGATCTAAGGATTATTACGAAGCGTTGAAGTTTGCTAGGAAGATTGCTGATAATTTAACCGAAACAATCAACATGGAGGGCGTTGAGATATTTCCTTACAGGTAAAAATAAATACCATGGTAATATAATTTTATACTAAACATTTATTTTGCTTTTTTAGTATTTTCTATGTATTCTTCGAACAGTATCTGACTATTTGGTACGACATGTTAACATCCCTTGCATATTCTCTTCTTGTTGTGCTCGTGGTGCCTTTTATAGTGAGCGGTTTCAACCTTTTTGCTGCATGTACAATTCTTATTGTTATTGCTATGATAACAGTAAACCTGGCAGGAATGATGTACATCTGGGATATTACTCTTAACGCAGTTTCTCTGGTCAACTTAGTCATGGTAAATTATATTGCTATTATTGTTATTTTTCAATTAAATATTAATTAAATATTTAATTTACAGAGTGTGGGTATATCTGTTGAATTCACCGGCCATATTGTTCACGCGTTTGAAGTGAGTAAAAAGCATACGCCGTTGGATCGTGCTACTGATGCCTTGGGTTTAATGGGTGCTTCAGTGTTTTCTGGTATTACACTGACGAAATTCCTTGGGATTATTGTATTGTCGCAAGCACAATCGCAAATCTTTAAAATTTTCTACTTCCGGATGTACCTAGGCATCGTTATAATAGGAGCTTTACATGGTTTAGTATTTCTGCCCGTTTTCTTATCGTTTTTAGGACATATTAAATATAGATGAAACTATTTAAACTATTAAAATTTAATATGTTAATATTTCTATTTATAGTATTTTGTATTGTTTTGCTATTTGTTAAGTATTTATGAATTTTGCGTGTATATTTGTTAAATAAATATGTAAAATGAAAAAAGTGTGTTATAGGTACCATTGGTTTATAATTTAATGTTTTAAATGTTTATATGAATGCTATTTAAAGATTAAAATCCAATTTATTCGTTATTTTGGAAACTTGATGAACTTTAAAACTAATATAAACTCTACGATTTTTATTTTAAACCACATCGAAAGAGTCTGTTCTGTAAAATAAGTTTACAATGTGTGAGTTTGTGGCTTGTGCTATAGCTCGAGGGCAATCCGGAGCAAGTTATATTATTATACGGTGAGTGTTGCGTAATTTGCTCCAACAATTCGAGAGAATTTCATTTTTGCGGCCACGACGTGCCCCAGCGTCGCACCTCGATCGCGACGCGCTCGCGCGCTAACATGTCTCTGATTGGCTGTGAATGCGCCACGTGACCACCCGTCAAGCATATTTCTGTATACAGTCAGGCGCTGTACGACGTTGTCGTGCACGAGAAATCGAGGCAGAAAAATTTCTTTTTCGGGTGCATTTTGGCCATGTGTATCACGTTCGCGCGGTGCTCCAGTACCAGTACCATATGGACTGAAGTCGAGTGTGGTGCGATAATGTCTCGGCGAGTGTTACACATACGAACATTACTGTAATAAGACACGCATTCCTAACGTCTGCAAATCGCATACATATTGCGCTCTCGTACGTGCGCGCATTGTCTCGTACCAACCGGTCCAACATTTGTATATCACCACGTGGAGAGTGCAAACTTGCATAAAATTGCACTATGGCTTCGAGACGATCGCGTATCAAAGGCATCGCAAATATTCCGCAGCGGAGGAAACCCGTCGTCGAACAGGAAGCTACGCAGGAAGATGTGAGGTGCGAGGAATCTAACCTCTCACCACAGCAGGTGATCACAAATTCAACCGGAGAATCACAGAAAGAAGAAAAACATGCTGACGGCGTTGATTTGAACACAGCTGTTCCCGTGGAAAATAATAAAGATAAGCCATGTGAAACAGATATTCCAACTCATTCAAATCATGATATTAGTAAAAATGTAGCAGAAAATGTAAATCCAAACATATCTGTAGCAGCACCTCAAACACAGCCTTCATTCAACCGACGTAGACTTATAAAACCAGCAATATCATTAAAAGCAATACAGAAATCAGTAACTCCACCTAGCATATCTTCACCAAGTGAGGAACCAGAAATAACAAAACCTCAAGAAGAGCCTTCACCACCTGAAGATGCAAATTGTCCTTCTGTGATATCTAAAACATCTGAAAATCCACCAATAAACACATCAAAACATGCTCACACTCCAGTCAGAGATGATTGTATCAACAAGGAGATCAGTGTGCTTGGTAAGCAAAACCTAAAATTAAATTTATTTACTTTCAACAAATGTTACAAAGTAACAACTTGATTAGCAGTGCAACTTTGATAACTTTTGACCTTTATTGCTTTATTTTTAAGGTATCACCAAATTGCCACTCACTCAAAGTCAAAATCAGAATTTGGAGAACTGCACAGATAAGAACTCTTTTGATGAGATTGTTCGGCCGTCTCCAGCATGCAGCCCTAGCAAATATATGAATCGTGCCAGGATTAAGGCTATTCCACGCCTGGGCCAACGTCGACCGAGTTTCAGCATCGGCAGCGCGAGCGAATCGGAAGACGAGTCGAAGAAGTCGTATAAAACAGTACGAATACGAAATGATTCTGTCTGCTCGTCTGTTTCTACACCAGCACCTCCAGAATCACCAGCAGTTGTTGCTGAAGTGAGTAATCCTAGGAAGAAGCCAGAGTTCAACAGCGTTATCCAACGAAAATGCCGACGGACTGAGCAGAGTCGTAAACTGGCTGAGGCAAGACGAGATTTTCAACAAAAGTTTAACAACGGGAAGCCGGATAGGCAGAAATTGACCATGATAGATCTCATATTTTACAATCCTGGAAGCTCCCCGATGAGGTAAATGTTTTTATTATGTTATTTACATTTTGAATAATATTCTGCTTTTTTTAAAGCCAAAAACGTAAACGAAAGGATACCGAGACTGAATCGATACTAAGCGCCAAACATGAAGAAGACATTGACGATGCACCTGCACCAGACGAACCTTCTGCGGATGCGACCGCCGAGCCAGAACTCAGCGACGAAGAAAACACAGTTCCTGCGCCCCAAATAACAATCGGCGCCAACGGCGAAATCATCATCGACGAAAAATCGCTCTTCATTGAGAATAAAGACATCAAACGCGATCGCGAGTTGTTAAAAAAGTCGAACCTAGTCGATGGCGACAAGTTTGAAACTGGGTACGGCGTATTCAAACGCGTGAAACGCTCCAAGGACTGGAGTAAAGATGAAACTCTGCGATTTTACAAAGCGCTGAATACAATGGGAACTGATTTTACACTGATGTGTGAGTTGTTTCCAGGTCGTAGCCGACGAGAGTTGAAGATGAAATTTAAAAGAAGAGCGTGTTAATCGAGCCTTGATTGATCGCGCTGTGATGCAACCGATTCAGTTCGATATCACCGATTTACAACGTGATCTTGAAAAGCAGGAGTTGGAAAAGCTGCGGAACGAGCAAATAAAAAAGGACCTGAAGCAATACAGGGAAGATTGCAAGGCGGCAAGAGAGGAGAAGAAGGAAAAGGAAAAAGCTAAGGCGGAAGAAGTGCCTGCAGTTAAGAAGAAAAGAAAAACATGGACGGGAGATGTAAAGGTCGTTGAAGAACAAATAATTAAACCAGCAAATGCCAAGGAAGCCTTAAAGAAAAAGCTGCAACAAGGGATACACAGCTTGCTCGCATCAGATGACAGTGACGATGAAAATGCGAATGTTGTTGAAGATTCAGTAAATGCAAAAGAAGCGGAAATCAATGAAAACAACAATCATATTGATTTGAGCGACGCGATTGAACAAAACATTGAGATTACCAGTAATATTGATGTAACAAGCCCTGAAATGCTAGCTGATACAAATTCTGAAGCAATTGAGATGCCTGAAGTAGAGAAAAGCGGCGGAATTGAAGAAACGAACGAAACTGAAGTCATTGAGGAAGGTTCGATTGTAGTTACAACATCATTAGATGCTGATGGTAAAGAAATCTACTCTGCTTACTCTGTCAACTGTCATGGTGAAAAAATCCCATTGGATTTAAATCCGGGAGTCCTCGATGTTCTGCTTAAGAATCAAAAAAGTGATAAAACAGTACCTCTACCCGAGAACGCAGACGAATCATTAATTTTGCCTTCTGATAACACCATAGACAACATAATGGCTGATATATCCTTGTCTAATCTTCACGACAATCCAGACATGTCTCTGACGACCACCGCGGACTGCATGATTCTTTCGTTCGAGGATATCGATGCGAATATTGCCACTAACTCAACCGCGAACATTGTCGCTATCCAAACCGGGCCATAACTTTGATAACGATGCATTTCTTTTTTGTACGGTCTCTTCAATGCTGATAAACGTGTAAAGGTGATGACACGAATCGTGTGAGTACACACTAAATAATTTATTTTACTACTAAGCTATTTCCTACTTATAGCTAGCTATACTTGATTTTAGTACACCGACGAATGTCACTTGGAACATTACTGACGAATGTTCATAAAGCGCTGTTTAGTTGTTTGTTAAAATGCCGCGTTTGGAAGTGTCGTGCGTGTATTGAGAATTTGTATTTCTTTTATTATTATGCTTTCTACTGTGAATGAGTGAGTTTATTTACTATTTCCTTTTTTGTTGAAGAATGTTACGATGTTGGAGAATTAAAAAATATTAAAGAAAAAAAGTGGGAAATATTTTATAACTTACAAGGATGCATTTATAAAATAATATACCTGTTTCCATAATCCCAAAATAATTAAAATGGCGGTCATGTTTCTTATCATTTATGTTGTGTGTATGATTTTCATCACATATAGCTCGTCGGCAGTCACTTTAACAGTCAGATACTGAAATTTATAATGCAATTTCAGATCGTTTTTCTTGAGAAGCTCCAGCTCTTCGGGAGGCACGCCAAACACCAGAAATATGCCGTTGCCGAGCTGCGTCTTGTGCAGTAAGTGCCATGAGTCTACGGCGAAAGCTACGTTCTGCGCGGCTAACAGTGATAAAATTTGACTCTGGTTTGTAATATTCTCCCGGCGAATGAATAAGGTAACTTTCGTAAGCTTGCATCCTACCCGTAGGTAATCCATTCCAATTTCCTTAGATAATTCACTGGTAAGTTGAGCGGCTGGATCATTAAAATCAAGAATTAGAACATTGAAATTTGAGATATCCGACGTGGGTAAAATTGGTTCTGCTTGTTGCTGCTTGGATCTGCCAGACTCTTTCTTGATGTTGGATGGATTGACTACTTCTATGGCATTGACAACATCAACAGGTACTTTCAGTTTCTTTTTACAATCATATTTTGCATCTGAAGAAGCTGTGTCCCAGGGTAGTGGATATGCATTTCGGCTGAGGCGGTGTCCAACGAAAGCTTTACGTGAAAAATGCCGACTGCATATCCTGGTCAATTTTGAATAAGGCTTTTCTGTGTCAAACAGTATCCTTGACCATTCAGCTCTTCTGATAATAAAAATATATAGATACTACAATAAAAGTATTTTGAAATTACCTGAGAGGACTTTTGGGAAAACTGTGAATATAAATGCGATTTTCCAGATCACAACCATGACCACAAACAATACAATACATCGTAACAGTGTTAGAGCGCACGTGGTTTCAGATAGGTTCAAAGGATGACTAAGTAGTTTCTCTGGAGTAACTTTAAAAAATCAACAGCGCCCTGGGATGGCGGGGTAAAGTCACATGCACCACCGCCATCTAAAGTATAAGCTTTGAAAAGCTTCATCCCACGTCACAGTCTGTATATTGCAACAGTGTATACTTTATTCCGATAAATGTATGCAGTATATTTTACTGGCAACCATGTCTTTTTATAAAATACGAAAAGTATAATAGGTTTTATTTTATGTATTAATGGAAGTTCGTGAATAAGTATATAGGTAAATGTAGAAGCATTCTTATGGAACTCAAGGCTAAAGAAGAAGAAAGGAAACTAGAACTCTGCGACTGGACCGCTGGGCTACTCAGGAATGATTGCGCACTTTACTCGCTAAGGGCTGCGCTTTTATACTCGCGGTCGACCCGTAAAAAGTGGTGGGGGTAGCCTGTGGATACCTACGCGAGTATCCAAGTACTTGAACTGTTATCAAGTAATCAAACAAGTTGCATATACGACTATAAAACAAAACAAAATAAATCTTGCGAGTTACGAAGATGTGAACACCCACAAATAATTAAAATTAAAGTTTAAATATGTATCATGGCATGCATACCATCTGCAAATATATATGGTATGTATTACCCACAGATTTTATACTAGCACTGGTACGTACAATCTAGACAGTGGTGGGAATGGAAAAGGTGAGCCAAACACGTCGTATACACGACATTCTTGAGGTGCGCGCGCTCGCAAAGGAAAAGTCAGCGCGCAGGTGAGTCTTGTGTTCAGGTAAGCGGCCGCATTTAGTTTGCGCTCGACGTGCGCACGTAGCGGCCATCTTATGATGTCTTAAGTTCAACTTACAAGTTAAGCGACATATTCACATATTATTATTAACAGACATAACTTGAGTGACGTTTAATTACATAATAAACTAAATACATTTCCGCGATGGGTTCGAAAATAGAATATGTCGATTCGACGCAAATTTACGCGACCAGTTACGTGCGGAACTCTAAGGCGATCGGCGTGCTGTGGGCGATCTTCACCATTTGCTATGCAATCATCGGCGTTGTGGCGTTCGTTACTCCTGAATGGCTGGGAAACGTCGAGGGTGACAAGCCGGGTAAATTCGGCTTGTGGGCAGAATGCTACGCTGAAGAGAACGGCGAGCAATGCCGAGGGCGGTTGGATGAATTCTACGACAATGGGAATTACGCCTTTCAAGGTGCTACCGTCGCTGTCGGCGCTGCTTGTGTCACGGCGTTGATGACAGTTGGGGCTATGCTTTTCTTCTTCTTCTGTCACTCGACCAGCGTGTATCATGTTTGTGCATGGCTACAATTAATATCAGGTAAAAACAATACAAATTTAATATAATAATTAATATTGCTTGTTTTATTAGTTTATTTTAAATTTCATTCATAAATTTTCATCAATATTATTGTGTTAATTACGCGATGTATCATTTTTCATTAAGACTCGTCTTAGCATACTTTTATTTGCTGATTACTCATAAATTTCTCCAATTTCTCATTCTTTAATCCACAACATCTGTAGAAATAATTACAAGAGAGCTATTGCTGTTGTTAGCGTCGTACTACAGCTTTCTGTAGGTAATAATTTAATACCAGCATATTTTCCTGTATGAAAACAGACATATTTGTTTGTTTTGTTTCTGCCAATGTTGTTTGCGGTTAGTTCCGAAAGTATAATTGTATTGACCTTGTTCTTGTTCTGGTTCGCTTATGATTTGGTTGGTAAATTTATTAAAAATTCCCTGCAAACCAATGTGAGGCAGTTGTTGGATTCTTCATTCATTCTTTCTTTCTTTCAATTGTTTCATTCGTTATTTGAACATAATTGAGCAATGGTAGAGTAGAAATTAAGTCAGATTTAGTGAATTGTTGAAATAGGAATACAATGAAGAAACCAAGATGAAAGAAAGCACTGAATATATGAATATAAATTTATATACACATTAACGCGTATAAAGATATTTCATTTTTTTAATTTTGATTGTAAGATATAAGAATGTTTAAATATATGGGTATGTGCAAACAGCCTAATAATACTTATCCATATACCACATGCAAAATGTGTGGAAATATCATAATTTTGATGACATAATCAATTGAAAGCCTCCATTGTTTTGTTGGTGCGTGTTTCTTCATTATAATAGCATTAACATATTTTAGTGCTATTATTAGTAGCCGTTTATTTAGTAGTACCTACATAATTTTCTAATTCAGTTGGGCAAATTATAACTTACATTAGATAATATATACTTTGTATAATATTAACAACTTAGGCAGCTCAAAATACACACCAACTTATGTAGGCTTTAAATTATAACCAAAACACATACTTTTGATTCTAATTACCAACACGTTAATTCTTTGATTTATTTCTGTTGATATCCGTACAGTTTGACACACAATAAAAACAAAGGAATTAACAAAATGCAGAAAAACGCAATTACGTCTTATCCCAATAATCAACTATTTCTTACAAGTGTGCCACTCCACTCAAACGTGTTGATGCAGCACGAACAAAAAGAATTGTTAGTTATTTAATCCCAAGAAGCCCAAGAACAAAACTCTGTGTCTAAGTTTCCTCTTCGCACCAATAATGCCCGGTTGCAAGCACGTAACTTTAACAACAATATAAGAAAAAAGAAGAAATAAAAACGTAATGATCAACACAAAACCACATGCGAGCGTACATCCATCATGTGCACTGAGAATGATTTGTTTCTTGTCTTAAAATAAGCAAACAAACGACGTAAGTAAAGTTGCAAACGGTAGATAAGAAATATTAGATGGGAAAAACATTATTTTTTATAATATTAGATAAAAATTTATGTACTTCAAGGCATTCTTTAAAAAAAATATTTAAAAAAGTGGGAAATCTAAGTATTTTTGGGTTAATTTAACACCAAAGTTAATATTTTGTTAAAATTTGAACTTTGAGTTTATTAAACTATTTCCTTATTTAATTTATGCAAGCAAAAAAACACTACTTATTAACTTTGTAACTTCAACAATTAATATAATGTTGAATGAAGTTTAGTTTTTAATTACCAACGTAATGACTAGACACAAGATATATTGAGAGAAAAAAAACTCCATTGCAACGGGTCATAATTAAGTGGTACAACGTAAAACGCATATTGTTGTTGCACATGAACAATATGTACCTACGTACACAATGGATACAATTGTGATTTTTATTAATATTATTCATGCTTTTTTTTTCTGCTTTTCTGCGCTTTTCTTGTTTTCCTAGTTGGATATATTTTGCATTTTAAATTGATTTATTTAATACAAACATTAATCAAATAATAGAGAGTCGCAATTAGTATGAGGTAAATAATTAATCATGCTTAAGTGTTGTGTTGCGAAAAGTTTGTTGTCTGATAGGCGGTAATTGTTAGTGTATTTTGTGGTTTATTAAATTTCTATTGTTTCATGACGAATGGTTGTGCAATTGCGATGATATAAGCGTTTAATCATTTAGACATTCTTTTTTATGCAAAAAAAAAAAATTTAAGTGGAATGTAATGGACATATTTTCTTCTAATAATTTTATTTACACCATATTTAAACAATAATTCAAAGAATTGTCCTTAGTATTCTTATTAATATGCAAAAATGTTGATATTTACATTTACTTAACTGGATATATAACACTTAACGACGATTTGACTTAAATGATTTAATTTTACTGTTGCTTTTCACAGTTAACTGCATAACTAAATAGATTTTCTTGCAAATTCCTTACATTCGCTATTAAATGTTATATTCTAAATATTTGCTGTGTAAATGTCAAGGCTCATTATGATCTAAAGAATTGTTAAAATGCAATCTTTAAAACTACGTCCTATTAAAGCAAGTGTTTGTGTTGATACCGTTAGAAACGAGAAAAATCTCCCGACATGTGTTTCTGTAAAACATTGAAACAAAGAACCAGTGAAACGCATTCCCTTAATTGAAAAGCCAACTGTCGTTTGCTTTTAATGTTTACGACTTGACGCAAAGAACGATCAATAAAGTTAGTTCAACATCTCATCTCACCAAATATGCGAGAAGAAACTGGTGGAACAAGTGCATGCGGAATCAATCGAACTATTAAAACAGTAGTTGGGAGTTAAAAGCATAAAATAGATTTTTTTCATAAGAATAATTAGAAGAATACGTTTTTGGTTATAAATTTGTGTAATATTGGTTGCCTACTTATTTTTCTCGATCATAGAAGTTTTATTTTTTAAATAATAATTTTTTACACTATTTTGTTCACCCTATATAGTAATTATTTCATTAAGTGCAAGTCGATCACATGCCGTTTTAAACGCTTAAACGCTCCTCGGCTAAAATTCAATAAAACCAGCACCTGTTTTCATCAAACGACTAAACTAAACATTTCCTTCATGTGGTAATGCAATGCAATGTATGTAACTGTTAATCTTGCTCGCTTTATTCAAGCGGAATTTGTGACGTGCTGTTTAGCACCATTCGGATAATCGCAGAAACATGGCGTTGCATGCAAGCTGAATGTTCAGGCTGAATTCATTTCTTGTAGGACTTGTTAGTGAGTGATAAAACGCAAAATAAACACGCGCGATGTAAGCACGTAAAAAATTCATTCACATTCCCATTCACACCCAAGATGCAAATCTTCTTTCGATACTATAACAATGGCGTCGCAGATGGCATTTGGTAAATGTCATTGTATAGTTCGTTTCGGTTGGGTGAAACGTTTAAGGACAATTAAGAGAAGAATCTTTTTAGTTCGGATTATGTAACATTCCGACAAGCTGTATTTAAGGCGTGTGTAATTTTAGACGAATTGTTGCTTACAAATAGAACATGGCGCAGAAATGAATAACAAACGTTTATAACTTGTTTCGGTGATTACTTTTTTCATGAGTTGGTTTACTTTTTACTGTTAGTTCAAGTGTTGTATTCATAAAATACAAATACAAGTAAAATCAGTTATTTTTAGTGGATTATTTTATTATTTGCATTTTAAAATTTTATTTTTAGGTTAATTCTTAGTCATAAATGTAGATATTATGTTTGGTTATGTTTGCAGTGATAAAAATGTTTTGTAAAAACATGCATTTTTTATCTCCTGTTTATAAAAAAAAACTGAAATAAACCAAAATAATTGTTGTAATTCATGAAATTTTAAGAATTAGTCGTATTTTTCCACTTGAAGACACATCTAGTCAACCGTTCGACTTATTTGTGAGTTTTCCAATAGCCTAATGATAGTAATTTACAAACGTACATACAGAGAGTAATTTGAAATACCGTTTTCTCTCGTTTTCGCGTTTTCGCATTTTCCTTACAAAGCGAACCTAATTAACATCTTTCGTCACGTTAAACATATACATTTCTAGTATTGTGTTACTTGTATCTTATAGAATTCTGTTCGACATCGTGTGATACTGTTATGTCCATAGTCCACGATGGCTGTAATTTAACAAATTGCAATTACATTGAAGCAACCTGCATAAAGTTTATGTAGGTACAAGTACAATGCTAAATAACTGTTCATAATATGAAGCAATTTAGAATATATGAATTATTTTTAATATACTTGTACATTTAATTTTAATATGATGGTTTACCTTGTTAGGTATTTATTTTATTTATTATGGAGAGTGTTACAGCAATATTTTTAAAAATAATTCATTTTAAAAGTAAAAGTAAAAGTGATTTATTAAATAAATGCGCGCAAAAGAAATTTAACGCTATATTATACAAGATTAATAACAAGAAAGTGAAGGAGATGATAAAAACCGCATGGGAAAGAAAAGAAAAGATGAAAATTGTAAAAGTAAGAATAATTATCAAAGCTCTTTTTTAGAGCATCTTGCGAACGACATTTATATACAATCCTCGTATAATATAGAATAACGTATGAAAATATACAATGAAATGAAAGTATATCGATTTATTTTATTACTTTCAATCAAAATAACTCAAACAACAAACTTTGTGAGTAATAAATATTATATCGACATTGAAGTTTAAATTAAAAAAGTTTTTTTAGTCAACAAACTAATTTAACACCAGTTTGATCGAATTTTGTTTAGTTTTATAAAATCATCAATTATTTGGTGTAAGTAATATTTATTTGTTTAAATTTCTGTATCATCTCTCGTCTGTTAACCCACTTTACATTTGCAGTGAACATAAATAGTTTCCATCATGATTTCCATTATTTACAAGCTGCAACATATGCAAAACACGTTCTAATTAAGGATCTACTTTTGTATTTTTATTGCTTCGTTGATTGCAGTGAAAATGACAGTTGAGTGAAAACTGTCACGCGGAGGTATTTTTTCGTCAGTGTGAGAAAATGTGAAACGTGTGACTTGGATTTAAACGTGTGTCGCATCATCTGCATACCAATCAAATCATTTCTACCATGAATTTAAATGTTTTCTAATAAAATCACACGGCCAAAACAAATTTCACTTAATACTTACTAACCAAATCTGCAAATTGCACAAAATGAGTTTAAAAGTTAGTTAATCTGATTAGACATGGTTTAATTAACGGTAATTTATTAATTCTCTTCTGAAATCTCCTACAATTTGTATCATTTGATCAAGAGGAGGAGTAGAAATGAAAACCAATCGATACACTTTGATATGCTTTGAAAAAGGATTTGGTTTCCTTATTGCAATCTGTAAATGTAGTGCATTCGGTAGTTAGTACAATTTGCATTTCCGTCGCGTTCATTAACCACAATAACGACGTTAATTTATCGATATCAGCGAGAATGAACTTTCAATTTACTACGGATGATTGATTTTATCGATTCGAAGCGCAAATCAAAGGAAATCACTTTCATTCACGTACATTCAGAGAGAGTACTGTAGAATAATAATAACTGAAATTAATTCTGGTAACAAAATAGGAAATTGTATGTTTTTTACATTTTTTTCTTAATTTTAATGCATTTTATTAATATTTTAATGTTGTTTTAGCAATCTGTATGATAATCGGCTGCTCAGTTTTCCCTCTTGGATGGAACGACGAGAAAATCAAGTCAATCTGCATGGATAGCAATCAATTCCAGCTGGGAATATGTGGTATTCGATGGGCTTATTTATTGGCGGCCATTGGTTGTCTGGATGCTGTTATTTTATCAACATTGGCGTTCATTTTGGCCACGAGGCATATTCGTCTGCAACCTGATCCACAATATGCACCAGCAAGTTTATTCAAAGGTAATATTTAAACAAAGTAGCGACACCTAGTGATCACTATCTGTACTGTTTCAATTCCTAACTTAATTTTTATTTGTAGGCGAAATGAATGGTGCATTCGTGAACGATACCGGCAGCGTGGCTGGATCCCGCAAGTCCTTGAACCTTCACCCGGTTCTCATGATGCATCCAGCGCAGGACGACACCTACTCGCAGTTTTCCCAACGCACCGTGCCGCGGTCAACGCACGGCGGGCATTACTCTCATCCACATCATCCCATGCATCACAATCACAATTACTAATTAATTAGTTAATTAACTAATTCCGCCAGCTACTCTGCTGCACTCCAACATTTGCATTGTGTATTATAGATTGTTTCAGGCGTACTTGACGCATTTACATAATGCAATTATTTATCTCATGCCTTTTACACATTGTAAACTTCTGTTTATTTTGGAATGTAATTATTATACTACTTATAGTTTAATAATGTACAGTAAGACTTTTGAATTTTATTATTGATTGTACTTTTATGTATTGTACTGACAGTTTATAATATTTAATTTAATTTAATTTGTCAATATTAAATTATAATTGTTAGTTTTATTTATATTTGATGTTTTTTTTATGTTTATAAAAATAAAGAATGAAATTTAAATTAAAATAGTGTATTTATTATTAAAACCAATTACGAATTAAGTTTTCGAATTATACCAGGCAAGCAGTATAAGTATATAGGCAACCAAACATACACAAATTCCAGATACAGGTGTATGGCGAAGCTTAAATATAAAGTTAAAGTAATTTTTTTTTATTTAAAAGATTAAGATAAAGAAAAATGGGAAAAAATAAGAAGAAGTTGGTGAATTAGTCAGAGTACGCCTAGTTAGGAACTAATTTAATGTCATTTCAGTGGTGTGTTTTAAGTTTTAAGTCAGCGAAACAAATCACCAATATCTGACAAGTTATTGTGATTATTATCAAAACTATCAATCTGATAACAAAATAGAATTAAGATAAAGTATTCAAAATAATGTTTTCTTCAATTATCTGCAATAAAAAGATGAAATTTCAAATTTTTATTTTATGCCTCACAAATGATGGAAAAAATGTATAAACTAGTTTTTTGCACTTTTTTGCAAACAATTAGAGTTAAAGAAAAATGGTTTTTAGATCCCTATTTAGGATAAAATTTTACAACATACTGTACTTTAAAATTTTTAGATTTCAACACTTACGTAATTATTGAAAATGGTTAATAACTCAAAAACTAATTAAGATATGGAAACGCAACTTGAAAAAATGGATTTCTGGCATCATTCTGCACATGTTTAGAAAGTTTCAAGAAACACCGAGGGGTGGTTCATTTTTGGCTGTACCAATTTTTACCCGATTTTTCCGAAATATTGATGTTATCGGAAAACTGACTTGATATCTTTCATCGCATTGTAATTCTATATCAATTGGCGTTTTCCATTTTCTTCCAGCTTAACTTTTAATTTTTAGACCACAAAATACTTAAGTGTAACCTCTTGATGATTTTTGAGTGGTGTTTGGTCAACTTCACAGAATCAAAAAACTAAATCTGCCATTTTGTAGACGCTTGTTACGACATGAAGAAAATGCAAATAGTTTTATTCTAACTTTTCTAGTTTCCGAGAAAATCGCGTCGGAAAATCAGTTTTCACTTCTTGAAAATTACATTTTTTTAAATGTCATCTTATTTAAGACTCCATGCTGAACGTCATCTCGTTTTCCGTTTTTGATTATCTACATTAGTTCTCAAGATAAACGGTAATTAAGTGTGACTGGAAGTACACATTTCAATTAAATTCGTCTACAGGACAAATCCCTAGTGCTACTAAACAGGAAGTTGTGTAATTAAAGTAGTTAAAAGCTACTCTATTCAATAGTACAATTAGTTTTAAAATAAATTTACAAACGTAAATTAAAATGTCAGGCGCCTCCGCCAAATTTTAATTAATTGATTCAATTTTTCAGGAAATTAAAAAAATGATATTTTTTATTACCCATTATTAAAGGAAACACCTTTATTAACAAAATATTTTAATAAAAATTTGTAATTAGACTAATGATTCAAAAGATACACGTTAAAAATTGAGTACATGAATCTCACTTGAATTAAATTATTAAATTCATTTTAGGGCCTAAACGAAACATGATTGATAAAAATGTTACTAAGATTTATTAATAACAATTATTAGTGTGTTTGGAATCCGCAAACAGAATTTCAAAATTCCAACTTTTAATTTCGAACATAAAAAAGAGAAAATTTTTGACTTTTTTATGACAAAATCTTTTCATCAGTAATTCGACCTGAAATAATTTTAACAAAAAAGTTCGGCCCTGTCTTTCGACCGAAAATAATTTATCCAAATAAGTTCGGCCCTGTTATTCGACCAAAAATAATTAACTTAACTTACACTTTTATACTATTTACGATAAAGAGAATAAAAATAAAGGGAAAAATGTTAAAAATAAATAAAATAAAAATTCTGCTTGCATTAATCTATAATTATTCCATCGTGTTTAAGAAAAATTGACATTTTGGTTAATAAATTGTCTAATCTCAGAATTGGCAACGTTAGCATACACTCCAGGGTATCCTCTTTGAGCACATCCTTGTCCCCAAGAAACAACACCAACCAAGGAATTACCCAAAGCCAAAGGACCACCAGAATCACCCTGGCAAGAGTCCCTACCATCACGAGCAGCACAGATCATCCTGCGAGTAATCTCACCAGTACCATAATTCCTCTCACAGGTACTTCTAGCAACAATGGAAACATCTACACCTCTCAATGTCCTCGTAACTTGACCACCAGAACGCATAGCGCCCCATCCGCTAACCTTCACTGTTGTTCCAGCAGCAGGTTCAGTGTTAGCCAGTGAAATTCTTCTGCCTTGAGTGATGCTGGAACTTACTTGAACCAAAGCGACATCAAAGTCCATTGTACGGGAATTGTATCTGGCGTGAGATATGATACGAGAGACTCGGAGCTCTTGTCCACCACTTAGAGAATCAGCAGATCCTACACGGATGCGCATTTGAGAAGTAGTCACTCCAGGGACGCAATGTGCTGCGGTAAGGATCCAACGGTCAGCGATGATACTTCCTCCACAGGAGAGACGGCCATTAATCAACATGGCGGCTTGGTAGGGTACTTGAGAGATGGGGATCTCTGTACCTCCAACAATCTTTCCATCTTGAGGAATATCATCTACAACAATCTTTCCATCTTGAGGAATATCATCTACATCTTCAGTTACAGCTTCAGCTACATCCCGACGAGCACGGCCTAAAATTAAGACATTTTTAGTTTGTTATCAAATTGTAAATATAGACAACCAAAATTACAAAAATTTTCTTTAAATGTTAAATTGGAAACTAAAAGAATTTACCTTGAACAGCCACGATTGCACAAAACAAAATTGCTACTTTGAATGACTTCATTTTGAGCAGTCCCTGTAAAGTGAATGGTTCTGAACTAATTCAAACTATTTATATGAAAACGCAAGGAACTAGATAAACTATGAATAATTAACGTTTTAATATTTGCATAAAAAACAACTGTTTAATAATCAATAACTGTCCAAAAACTAATTACCAAAGTAAATCATGTATTTTATTGAATATTGTGGTTCGAAAAAGAAACATTCATCAATTTTAGTGATTGTTATTGACATTATTTTGTTAAATGTACATTTTCACGTAATTTTCTTAGTAATTACAATAAAATTGAATGACGCAAATTGTTTACTCAAAATATGTTATAAGTTTAAATAAAAAACATCATTTTATTATTTAGAACATTAACATCAAAAAATGAATTAATTGTATAAAATATTAAAAAATATTTAATAATAATTTAAACAGGAATTATTTTCTGCATTTTAATTCGGTGTTCTATTTATTTATAAACGGTATTATCTATTATTACGTAATTACACGATTCGATTCAGTCGCGAGACTCCCGAGGCGTTATCACAACCTGCATCGTCCTGTGGTAGCGACACCCTCTCGTCGGCACCACCAGCAATTACCCTCTTTTGTCGTGCGCATTAGAGGGGTCGCGCGATCAATTTGTCCGATTAGCCTCATCGCCGCAAACGCAAAAGAGCAAAATATCGCCGGCCACCACGCAGATAAGCATCGCGATCGCATGAACGGAACGCCGCCCGCCGTCATTTGCCGATGCGCTCTCCCAGCAATACCCGACAGCAAATGACAATCGACGAATAAACAAAAAAAAAAGAAGAATACAGAAAACAAACGACGATGGGCAATTGCGTGCGTGTCGCGTTTACGGCTGTGGGGCATCGCTCGTTTGGCTCGTTAGGAACGTCCTCCACGTTTCACCCTGCACAGGGTATAGCTGTACGCCCTTCGAGCATTGAGTGTCACAATGCTTATCAGTTTCGATCACACGTTACCTGCGACTCATCAAAACACAATAAAACAAAATACATGCCGACGATAATTAAATGTTGGAGCGAATAAAGCAACACATCCGAGGAATAAAAACAATTTGGTAATTTATACAATATTATTCGTACTAATACATCAGGTTCAAAAGAATTTTGTTAGTAATTAGAGAATATTTTGTACATTCATCAAATACATTCAAGTATGATTCAAGTCTGACATTTTAAGACTTATGACTTTAGTTGTTAACATTTATCAATATATAATTATTACTTAACGACAAGTTTACACTTTATTTACATGCAGCTATAGCGATTTTATATTTTTCACAAATAATTTTTGAAATTTTTTTAATATTCATGTAGTTTTAATGCAAATAAAACAATTTTATTTGCTAAAATGATGCAGGCCTTGCTCATATCAGCTTAGTATTATTTTTTGTCATAGGATATTAAGTTGTTTCAACAACAGAAAAACAAAAAACGTAAATAAATATATGTACATAATTATTATCACTATTATAATACAGTTATAGATATGCAACACTTGATTCTTTTAAAATTCAAAATAATTTAGCCAAATTTTTGGTTATTTTCCTTAATTTTTTAGGTTAAGTTTTAAATTTACGTAAATTTATATATACAATAATATAAATAAAGAAATAAGAATCGCAGCTACACGAAAAGCAAAAAAGTGCTTAAATTCCGGCTCTATGAAGTCATAAATTTGCATAACTAATTTAAAGCAATTAATATGCGCAAAGAAAAAAAGAAAAAGAAGCGATTACTTTTCATTTCGTTAGCTTGCCAACTCGCCACTGCTTGCAAGGGCAATTTAATGAAAAACTTTATTCCGTCTCTTATTCACCGATGTCGTGGAAAAGTCGTGGAAAAGTCTAATGAAACTAATGAGGCAAAACTGTCAAAGGTAAAACGCTTTGTTAGTGAGTTTAAGCTTTTCGTGTTGAAACGCATGCTTTACCACACTTTTTTTATGAATAAGTTTTGTATATTAATTTCCATACTCATTTGTATATTATCCCGCGTGTAAAAAATAAAGTAATAAATTAAAAATGGCGTTTTTCAGCGAATTAATTCCTATTAATGTTCATTTTTAATCTTTTTACTTTCTGTTTTTTGTTTTTCAACTTTTTCCGCTGCATCAATACTAATACTTTGATGATTGATTAATGTACCAATTGGCTGTTCAATAACTTGTGCAATGGGACTATACACAACCTTAGGTTTCTTTACAGGTGTTTTCTTCAATAATTCTTCAATCGAATAAGGATTTCGCTTTTTCCCTGCATGATTCCCGCAGATTTCAGGCGATAACTTTTCATCATCTGTTATTGTAATTTCATGATCATCATCCTCATCTTGTTTATTATTTGAGTCAGCATCGGCATCGTCAACAATTACATCAACATCACTTTCACGCGGTGCAGAATTATGATTTTCAGGATGATTATTACTGTGAGACGCATTGTGGTGATAAGGGATGATGAGATTTGACCACGTTGCTGGGATACTCCCCATTGAAGAAGACATTACATCGGAGAAGGAAGAAGGCGGGGGCGGAGCGTGTACACTCCCGGCGGCGGTGGTTGCTATGTGCAGTTGATGATGCAGAGATGCTAAGCGATTATTGTGATACGCTTGAGACGCGTCTAAGAAATACGCTGCTTGCATTTGATTATGATGAGGTTTCGACGACTGATTGTAGACGTCTGATGTTCGTAAAACAGCTTCTGAAAATTTAATTTTCAGATTTAGCTATGAAATAATTTAAAACAATAAATAAACTTAATGTGACAGGTAACACATCCGAGTTGGCTCGAAAGTAATTTATAAAATAATTTGTTGACTTTAACTCTTTAAGTCTGTGCAATAAAACGTCATCGCGGCGACGTATTTAAAAATATATGACTTCCGGTTTGTTGTGAATGTTCCGATGGTCGGATTGCTTTCGATCGTGATATAATGTCTTCATAACTGCTCATAAATTTAACTTTCAACAGCCGGATTATTTATGCAGACAATGTTGTTAGCAATTAGTCTTTTAAATAATTAAAACAACATATTCTGGGAATAATACAAAACGTACCTTGTGATTGATGGCGATTTGAATGTAGAATTTCGGGTGGATCTGGCCATGCGCCGCTGTTGCGTAGAATTCTGTTGACTGAGCTGACTGAGGGAATGTTGTGCGGTTCGCAGACACGTTGTGAGACCAATTGTTCACGAATTTCCCAGGCGAACATTCCGGGATTCTCTTGTTTGAAGCGGAGGATCTTTTTCACCACTGTCGGTGTTGCTACTTGCTGCAATACAGAATTGGTCTACATTTCAATCAATCAATAATTCTTTCAAGCAATTGAGATTAAAATAAATTCTTATTTGTGATATTTGAATTATTTTGGTGTAAATCAATATCACTTTCATAATTTTACCCTAAACCCCTATTATTTCCACGTAGACATAATGATATAATTAAATGTCAAACAAAATTATTTCTTTTTCCTGGAAATACAACTCGTGTCAATTTTATTTTAACGAGAACAAAGTGGTCTCGTAATCCCCGAAGTAATTAAGCAATTAGATTACATTAGAGGTCATAACGTGACTGCAATTTCGTATGTAACCAAAAATACTATTTAATAATTAAATTTATGATGTGGTATTGCCTGAAGTTTTATAAATACGATAAATTCGATCATCTTATGTGGTTCAATCATAAATTATATGCATGTATATATTCGCAAAAAGGACTTATAAATCATCCATCACGTACCGTTTTCGCATTTTCACTTTACAGCACGCGTCCGAGGGCCTGATCGAATTAAACGTGCGCACTTGCCAGCTCGCCACCACTTCCAAGTCAATTAACACCTTTTATAGGCGTGCTCACCACACTCGACTCTCACGAGACTCGAATGCCTTCAGAGCAACTTGAATACGCGTGTGAGATAATAAGCAAGGTATTAAATGTGGGTATTCACGTTTATGTTTAACACTTCATTACCTTCGACGAGGAATGAATAAGTTAATCGTGCACAATACACAATTATGTTTAAATTGCTTAAAGGATATGAAGTTGGTATATTTTTATTTCATTTTTATATTAGAAACACGAAAAATTTAATTTTTTAAGTGTAATTTGGGTGGCCTACTCTGTAAGCTAGATTTTTAATATAAAATAATATAAAAGCATTAAAACTTACTTTAGTTTTTGATCCACCGATGGACCCAGGTCGTATTGATCCAGTCTCGTAAAATCTAGTCAAAATCTTCGAAACGCACCCGTGTGAGACTAAAAGTTGTCGTGAGATGTCACAAGGGCGCACGCCCAGTAGCGCAAGTTCAACAATCCGTCTCCGCACGCAGTCGGGCAGTGGGCGGCCGTTGACAAATACACCACCGAGTTGATTAACTCCCGCTTGACCTGCAACAAAATTTATTTTGTAACCAAATATTCATTTATGTCCTTTAAAAGTTCCTTAAAGTAAAGAAATGTAATTTGCACGACAGCTGAAATTTTACGCGCACCTTACACATTACACGTTTTTGTTTTGGTACAAAATGACAACACTTGATTTGAGTCATTAAAGCATACATCAGGAAAAAAACACACATTGCGCATTTGGAAAAGACAAAAAAATGACGACTAGAGATAGCATGACTGAGTACAGGTGTAGCTGTAGAGCACCTCAAAGGAGTACTAAATTCCATAACCGAAACCGAGTTGTTGGAACGACTTGATTTGTTAATAATTGCGGTAAAGCCCTTTCTGCGCGGCGTTTTTTTCGGTTACGGTTGCTGCAACCGCTGCAAAACTAAAAGCAAGAATTTTTTACGAGTCGCGTGCTTCAACTTGACAAGCAACTTGAGCCGCAGAACTAATTTTCTAATATTAGCCGAATAATTGCCGAGAAAAAAGAAAAGGAAACGAATTAGGCAGTCGCAGATATCGCAAACTAAAACTATAAAAGTATTAACGACTTTTTGCCCATCACATGTGATTATTTCTTGTTTTGCTGCCCAAAAAGAGATCTAAGATGTACTAATTGCACGTATCACCTGCTTTTAGTAAATGTCTATGCATTTTTTCTAATAAAAAAAATATGGCAAATATTTTTGTTTAATATTTGGTTTTATTTAAATAATTTTATTAAAATTTGAGCAGCTGAAACTTAAAATTAAAAATCGCATTCTTTTTAATGAAGAAATTAATTCTTCCAGGAAATGATGATGATTGAAAAACTCAAATGCCAATTAATTGAGATTGTCCCGCATATTTGCGGACTTTTTGTAATGTCTTTAAATATCCGTATCATATCGTTGTTATTGCTACACGGCTGTGAGTCTTAGTTAATTTGAAAAGAAAAAAACTCAACTTTTTTCTGTCTTCGTAAGTGTGCGCGTAATTAACGTTTAAGCAAACTTGCTTAAACTCGCTCAAACGCAATCTGTGCGACTTGGCATGTGCGCATACTAAGTTTTTTTTTATAAACGCGCATAATTTTGGTCTCGTGCGCGAAGATCTTGGGCCGAAGTCAACGTAAAGGCATGGCAGGTGATGCACGTCAAAAGCGTTTTTATGCGGTGCATCAAAGACGCTAAACAACTGCAAACTGAGCGCCGAGTCTAATACGTTGTCGAACTTTTCACTGTCTTGAGATCTCGGAATTGAAGCAAATTACGTAAAACTCGGCTGAAAATTGGACATAATTTGGTTGAAAAATAAAAATTCAGCGAAATAAATTCAAATTACAATAACCGTAAACATTTAATATTCCTTAAACGCCAAATATTATAAATTAAAATTTTAAGGATTTTTCGCTTAAAAATCAATAAATTCAATTTTTTGCAGAAAAATTTTAATATCCTGTCTAGGTAGATGGTCCCGTAGTAACGGAAAACATACCATTCTTAAGTTCAAATTGTCAGAATGACCTTTGTTAAAGTCTAAATTAACTTGAAATAATTGCTACCAAATGAATTCTCTTGTTCATTTAGCGAGTAACATAGCAAACCGTGTCATCCGCATTGCTCGCCGTCGGTTTTCCTAGTTTAAATGCGTGAGCGCGCTAGACTGAACTGAAAATTGCAAATTCTAATGAGGAAACTGTTGGAACTGCAATGCATGGAGCTTTGACCGTCAATAAATTGATGCCATGATTTATTGACCATTTCGAACCGTACGAGAAGCGTGCAGCTAACTACGCAATAGAAGAAAAGACAAAAAGACACACAGAAACAAACGAAACAATTGCGAATTGTGATTGTGATTATAACCAATAAATAACACTATTTATTCTGGATTTTAAAAAGAAATTTAATTATTGGGAATTAACCGCTACGTTTTTTGTTCTTTCGTCTTTCATGGTCACTACTGAGTTTAATAACATGATGTATGGTTTAGTGTAGCTTATAAATGCTTATTAATCGACCCGGTGCGTAGTGAAACAGCAAAACCGCTCAAAAAGGTCGCACGGTTGTTTAAAATATGCAAATTTGTCGCGCAGCATGGCAATTACTCACGTTGTGCGCCCCCAAACTACCCCCGCACGTGACACATAATATAAACCCACAGAAAATCACAAAAATGATTAAAACACGGAAAAATAACGCGTTACAATCACTTCAACACTAACGCTGATTGTAAGATTTTTTCCACAGCAAAACAGCAGATTTCAATTTAAAGCTTTATTGTTTTTCTATCCATAGCTGTAAATAATGAAAAGAACATAACGTTTCTTGCTTTTATTTAATGATTCACGATCGTCTGCGAGTCACTTGTTCATTCGAATCGTTTTAATGTGACACGGTATTGGCATCATGGCCGTCGCTCGCCCGCCGCTCCCCCTGGCGGAGAGCGCGCGTCGTAAAAGCGTCGCCCCGAGAGACATAACTGTCCATCAAGCATCAATATAATACTGGACCTATGTATATGTTCGCCTGGGATTTGCTAGAAGATTCGCGCTCAGCGATGTGCGTTTCGTATGCGAATGAGATTGTTTCGGCCGTTAAGTGTTAACTCGGACGTTTGTTACAGTCCGGTTCGATACGCAGCGCGCGCAAAAACTTTACAATCCCTCATTCTATTAACTTTCTAAGCAAAAATCAACGTGCCAGACGTGATTGCCAATCGAGTGCGGAGCAACTAAAACGAATACGACGCGGCGCAAAGGTCGAAGATCAACGCCAGGGATGTGCGAACACTGTGAACGCAATTATTATTCGCATAACAAACGCATAGGAATTTCTACTTAGGACGCTCAGGTTTCAATTCTAACGTAAAATTATTCTTATCTACTAAAAATTTAATTTTAAAAACAAAAATCGTCAATTTTTACTAATGTGTATTTTGAGTTGCCTACCTCACATACTAAAATAATACAGTTATTCAATTTTTATCGATTTAATGATTTCTGACTTGAGCATCTACACCTTAATTAGACAGTCGTGGTAAAGTTTGAGCGAAGTTAAACGACTGCATAAGTATAATATCACTTGAGTTGGTGTAGGATTGAATAATTGGAAGAAGGCGCGAAACCGTATCGGGTTGTAAATTATCCTCGCGCCGTAGATGCGATAGCTAATAAAACAGTCACGACGCGAGAAGACATAACGAACCATTAATAGAGTTGAGCGCGCACAAATCGCGAATTGCATACGCATTAAGCATGCGTATAAATAAATGCGCGCTTCATAATGGACAGTTAAGTTGTGCACGGCTTAAACACCAGCGAGGCTGAGCGCTTCAATCTGCGCTCGCGAGCTGATTATTATCGACTATGCCGAGAGATGCGCTTCGACTGTTCGACTGGCGAGCTTTTGTTCGCGTGTGTAAGGTGGCGTTTTTATGGCGCGCCGCGATCGTTACGCGCATTCTCGCGCATAACCAAACATAACCTAGGATGGCGTGTCATTTTTTTTTCGCCACGTGTAGGAAACGGTAGATGCGTAATAGGTTGTTACTGCAAATGGAGAACACACTTGAAGAGGTGTTTGGTTTTTTTCAGTTAATGTAAAAGATGTAAAACGTTTTGGTTTGGATGAAAAAAGTAACATACCTGTGTGTGGCATCCCTGCTTAGATTTAACCTCAAAATCTGTAAAAAAAAACAAGAATTAGAAGATTTTTAAAGAAAAACATATAAATTTACACAAAATTTTACAAAATATTTTTAATAAAATCTGTTATTTATAAAATTAAACAAATTTTTGTAAAATTTCTGCAAAATTTTGAAAAATTTTACTAAATTTTTATGTAAATATTTGACATCTACCCATGTGTCTTCTCTCGTGAATATAAAAAAGACAAATAAATCAGTTGGTTGTCGCCAGAGTGTCGTTTGCGTTGGCGTTGCAAGAGCCGTTAATAGCGCCACTAGGTGGCAAACCACCCGACAAGGGTAGTCGTTAGTTAAAGGTTAAGCATTCGCGCTCTGCAAATTAAGCACGACGCCACCACCAGCGCGGCTTTAGGTACGTGCGCACGTTATCCATCAATACGATCTCCATCTACACGCCGCGACGCATAACGCTCATTTGCATTTTATATTTACATCCATTAATTAATAATTTATGACTTGCCTTGTACCCCACGACCGCCCTCGCCTTCCGCGCGCGCACACGAAATTGTCAAGAAAACAACGTTTACACGAAAACCAAAAATAAAAAAATATTACCATCGCTTAGTCAAACTTTCTACAGTCGATGAGAAATGGCGCTGCGAGAAAAATGGTGGAAATTTCTCATGTGAAAAGTTTTAAGTGAAAATTTACTACGCTCGAGGATTCATTAATCATTTATGCTTTTGTGCGTTTGTGTATGATTTTCAGTTCGGCTAATCGATTTGCCTCATGTGGGGCTGAAAATTCAAATTTAATTTACATTTTTACGACCGCACTTAGCCACTTAGCCGGTTGAAATTTTTGATTTCTTAGAGCGTCGCCTAGCCTAGCCTGCATTAAACAAACAACCCGGGTGAAAACGCAAGTTGATAGCGTTCGTAAGGGAAATTTGCTCGCAATGTGTGCGGTCGTGTGATTCGCGTGTGCGAACGCGGTGTTGGTGCTTCATTTGCATATCTCATTGGCGTTATAGTTGTCGCTTTATGACTATAAGTCTTATACAGTGTGCCAAAAGAATTATTTTTTATTTTTTCCTGCTTAAAATAAAATTATTTCAAATCATAATTTATTCAATACATTGCTATAATTTAATTTATAATAAAATTTTATATGTTCGGTACTTATACCGGAACTCAAATATAAATATAAATTTTTATTAAATATTCTAGAACAAAATTTTTCTCCCTGTTTAAAAATATTCCAGTTGGTGAGCGAAAAGCGAATCGAAACGACGCGCGATACGATTATTTCTGAAATGCGCCTAATAAGCGATTTCGCTTGATTCCACCCGATGCATTTAGGAAATAATCACAAGATCGATGAAAAAGCTAAGCTAATTCGAACGAAAAAAGGAAAAATATACGCGTGTCGCGATGTATGATTAACTATACGCTGGGCACGTTCATGCCAATTAAATGCTCGCCTGATGGAAAGATTTCCCAATTTCCATATCTGCATAATGCGTGAATATCTAATGCGTCGTAAGCTTTAGCTGGGTATATGCTCATGTTGGTATGAAATAGGAAAAGGGATGAAAACACAGCGCGACGCGGGCGACAATTTACATCCGAAAAACGCGCGTTCTGTAACGACTTTTCGTCACGCTCGTGTCGGCATCGCGCGTTGAGATCGCGTCGAGAATTTCGAAAAACCGGCCAAACACTACCAAAAATGTTTAGAATGTAATAATCGTGTCGTGTTTCGCCACTCGAGGTGGAAAAGCAAATAGAAATGTTTTTGTTTTTTATGTCTTGGATGCAAACTATTTACTAATGTACGAAATTCTTTCTAGAAAAAAGAAAAACTGTTTTTGTAGGAGAAAAAATATGAGAAAATATAAAATTTTAGATTAGTCTATAAATATATGGATTAACTAATCAAATTAGGAAGAAAATTTGATTTAAAATGATTTTTTCCTTTAAATATTGCCAAATAATTGAAAAAAGCGTTTTAAGCGTTAGAAACTATTTTACTTAAGACATTATGCAATCATGCATAGCAGCGTATTAATTGTAGTTTCAAACGCACAAAATGAGTAGGTTAAGATGAACTTGCAGTTGTAGTTGTGACCTAAGCGCTCGTTTTATTTGCAAGTCGTAAAAATGCGTTCGCGAATCGTAAAAAAAGCTCCGTACACAACGAGCGTACACACCTAATCAGCGTTCCATATAATATCGGGTTAACAAGTCAATTAAAAGCACTCACAAGCTCAAAAACAACGCAGAAAACAAAACATATTACCTATACGCGCAATCATTATCCCAAAAATAAAAATGAAGGCATCACAACCGCTAATTTAGATTTTGTCTTCAAATTTTCGTATTCATGCGCCGTATGCATGACAAAATGTCATAACATTAATGATTTACTATAGTCATATTATATTCATGGGTTAGCCATTCAAATTGTCGCATTCTAATAGTTATTCCAACGCAGGACCGAAAGGAAACCCATGTTAATATGTTGATTACGAGCGGTTAAAGCGTACGCTTACGCACATATTACTGGCATTAAAAACAATAATTAGTCAAATCGCCAGAATACACTTGATGCGGGTTTATAGGTCGGCGTATTTTGCGTTTTTCTGACTTTAATGTGCGCGCCCGATACCCACAAATTAATGTCGAATGTGTAATTAAAGGTCAGATCGTGTTCTAATGCGTTATGTTAATTTCAGATTTTTATTTTTATGTTGTGATTACATCAATGTTTTCAAACATTCTTCCACCTATGATTTTTATTTTACTCTTTCCGTATCTCTCTGTATATTTATTCCTGTATGTGTAATATACGCGTGGACATTATGCGATTCGTGTTTGCACATATCAAAAAGCTTAACCATCGAATGCGGGGTTGTTGTCGCTGAGGGGGTGCGTGCTGCGAGATGCAAATGCGCCCTAACTACCAGAATAATTTCGTCCGAACACGTCGCGCTTATGATTTTGATTTACATTAATTTCATATTTTTCACCATAAAACTGAAATTTTCATTTCTCTTCACTTCGCTTCCTGCGCGCCGCGTTTGTTGTTGTTTTACGCGCATATTTTTATTTTATTTTGATCGATATGTGAGGCAAGCAACGTGTACGTGGTAAGGTGGAAGGTAGAAATTATGTGCAAGGATACGCGGATGTGATTGTGAGATTGTGGGGTGGTTTAGAACTAGAAATGTTGGATAAAGTGGACGGCAGCGGGCGGTGTGACAAGCGCGACGCGAGTATAAAACGCATAGTGGTTTTATTCTGTCACGGTTTTCACATTTGCACGTCGTGAATATAAAATGCAAGTTGCAAAATATGAAATTAATATTAAGTAAATCATATACCTAATTTGTAATGAATTTATCGTCTATCTAATAGCAATATTAAATCGAGAATACAGTGAGTTTTTTTAATGTTACTTAATTTAATAAAAAAAAAACTAAAAACGGCGAAATTTGATCAAAAATTGAATTTAAAATTAGTTTAATAACGATACCAGTCCGTAAATTTCAATATTTGCTTATTTTGTTGTTTTTCAACGTAAATAATGTAAAAATACGCAAAAAAGTAAAAATTAAAGAAATACTTGTCGGTAAAATGAGAAAAAGTCAAATAAAGTAAATAGTAGACACTTACTTGACATTGTAATAAAGGAAAACAATTAATTAATTGGATAACAGACGAAATACACGCGCAGCAAACAACTTTATTCGACGGAATGAAGTGTTTTTAACTGTTGCACTAAACAAAACAGCGTCTGATATTGCAGACATAGGTCACACACTTCAATCTTAGATATCCAATCGTTTCCTATCATTTATCTTTCATAACGGCGAGATTTGCAATGTTTACAGTGCCAATTCGTGTTATTCTTGAATTGTTATTATATTTGACACGTTTTAAGAATATTTTGTTGTCCGAATAATTAAAAATCAAAACAATTGTTAAGTTGAAAGAAGATTAGTTACTTTTATTTAATAATTATCAATTAAATTACCAAAAATCCCTTTTTTTAATAAATTGAAATTTGTACTTGAAATAAAAGTGCTAATAATCATAAATAATTCATGACGCTTCCTCAAATGCTTATTAAGTAATCAAATTCCTAATATTTATGTATCGTATGCAAGCACAAGACAACAAGACCCATCCGACTGTCATACGTCATTCTCTGAATTGTCATATACGAGTAGGTAATCGCAGCGATTCCGCGGTCCACAAATCGAATTCCGTCTCTTCTTTTCTACCATGAAATACTCGTACAAAGTCAACTTGGGACGCAGCTCGCTCTGGTTATTATTCGTTTATTAAAGTGGAATTTAAAGCGTTCGGATTGTTGGAATAATTGTATTCGTCTTCGTGCGCATTCAAAACGCACGCCGTCGCTAGCCCAAGAGCAAGGACGCAAGTTTGCTCAGTTGATATGTTGATTGCTCGATGGGTGGCTTCATTATAACGACATGTTGCTTTTGACTAACGTCAACAAATCATCAATTTTGCTATAAATTGATTTCTAGGGATAATAAATGATTGCACAAAAATACTTTCTCTTGCTTCTCTTGAAAATCATTTACGAATTTGTTTTGGTGATTTATATGGAGCACTTCATCAAGTAAACGATAAATTTTGTTGTGAAGTTAAAGTCATGCACCTGATGATCTGTTTGTTTTAATTTATTGACAGCAGATTGCATTTAAAAGAAAATAAATAATGAAGTGAGATTAATAACACTTCAGGAAGAGAAAAATTAATAAAATTTTTAAAATTTTATGTACTTACAAATAAATATTTTTATAATGTCCTTGAAAATGTGCCCTTGAAGAACTTCTTGAAGCTGATGCACAGTTTTAAGTGTTTTTAAGTCAAAAGTAGTTTGGTGAATTTTTCAGGATGAAGGTTTCGCGCAGAGTCGTCAGTTTTAGCACCGTGTCCTCTTCGTCACGGTCGCCAGCGTGAACTAAAAGCGCCACGGCACGCACCACGGACCGGCGAGCGTTGGGCAGCTAAGGGCGAGCCGCGCGGCGCCCTGCCGTGCGCGCAATCGAGATAGCGCGGGACGTCGCGGTGGGTGCGTGCGAAGGACGAACCGCATACCGACGCGCGCGGATGTCCTCGCGCCAATGTGCGGGCAGCGCACGGACCGCGCAGGGCACGCGCGCCCAATCGGAGGAAGCGCCGCTGTCGGCCCATCCAAGCTGGGGACGCCGGGGACGCCCAGCGCACTTTATTCTCATCGTGGATGGGTTTCGAGGGATGCACCGTGATGACGTCGATGGGGTGAAACCGTGAAGCCAGTTCAAGGGATGAGTTTATACGTAAGCAGAACCCTTATATGGAAATATTGATAAATTTAGATATAGATATTCGTATTTTTGATATTTTTTTGTTGTTTGTGAGAAAATCAACAAGAAAAACACGTGTTTTGATGTAATCCGCACAACGTGCAAACAAATCACTAAATATTGATAAACGATAATCTTTTTCATAGATATTAGTTGATATTAGCTCGGCGAGCGCGCGCTTTGCGTGTTGATTAAACAATCACCACGAACGGGTGGATAATGAAGGATAATAACATTATTAATCAAATAGTGTTGGCAGCTCGACCTTAATGATCACACATATCAAATTAAAACATTTTTTCCTTCAAATATTGAAATTATTAACAAAATTATCCAAAAATTACTTTTTATTTCTTTTAATTTATTTTCTGCACACATAAAGAGCTACTTTAGTATATTTTTTATTGCCATGACGATTTTTACAATTTCCAAAAAGTTTGGCACGTGCGCCAAAGATCAGATCTCATCTGATCAGCAGGCAACTGTTTTTGCATTTTCAAGTTTACCAGCAAAACGGAGGCTAATAAATTAGGCATGATGAAGATGAGACCGGTTTAGTTGACTTCTGCTCTTCATTAGACCCGAAATAAATGCAATAAAATAAAAACCCTTGATGATATCAACCACAATTTTGTATCTGTTGAATATCTACTAGTTGATTTTATTCTTGTTGCTAAATAACGGATTTTTTATTAGGTATATTTTAAACTTTGAACTAAAATCGCGTGTAACTTCATTCTTGCGTCTTCAGGAAGAGAGCCGAAAAAAACAATTAAGCGATAAGAATCCGTCGCGTCATAAACGTTGGGTCAATGTTCAAATTTCGGGCGGTAGTGGTCCGAAGCAATTTGATCGTCGCACGAGACTACGCCGGGTATATTTGCGAGACGCACGCAAGCCGTTCCTAATTTTTTTCCGTCGCTGGATTTCACATTTCACAATTCGGAGCCCTTTTGGGCATTCGGGCTAGGATGCAGATGCCCGTTTTTAATGCGCGTCTCGCAACGGTACCTACAATGCGGGGCGCTGCTCAAAACTCATAAAATTACAGTCTACTCACACGTATGAGGTTGACAGTGTCACGAAACCTCTTATAAGGGTTATTTCCGTTCTTCATTTCTTGTTTTGGAAGTTCTTATCTAGTTTGGTGTATAGGTAACTAATAATTGGGAAAAAACATGGCGTGTTATAGGTTTGGGTATTAATTAAGCGGAGATAAGTTATTAATTACTTAGATAATTGGTTATTATGATATTTTTAGTTTATTACCGAAGTTACTGGTTCCCATTTTTGGATTTACAAAATATTTTTGCAAATTTTTAATTTTTACCACAAATTTTGCCAAAAAACTAAAAATTGCATAAAAATGGTCAAAAAGATGTTTAAGAACTCAGTTAATCAAAAAAAAATTGTTTTTTTGAAAATTTTGCTCTGATTTCAACGAAATTTTCATTTTTCCCCATTTTCCTAACCTCCAAATAAAATAATTCCACTTATAAACCCAATAGACAACCCATAATACAATATTTGTCAAGATGAACACTTGTCCACACATGTTTCGAATGTTTGACGCTCGAATGAAACATGTGCGACAACATACCGCAGGGTGATTACAATCGTACGAGCGGAACGCGCCTGGGACATATGCGCACCTATTACGCTATCGCTGACTCTGAGCGCCAGCCAGCATTCAGGCATCGTGATTGCCACCGTGATTGTGTGGTGCGCCGTTTATTGCCCTTTAATGCGTTTAATAATGCGAAATCACTAAGCGTAACACCTCCACTCGACTACACACACCACCAATAACACATATTGCTTATTTACACTGCACAGTGGGTGGTAGCCAGTGTAATATTACATTCGATTTCGGGTATTACAACTAGATCAACACGTCAACACCCGAACACTTCATCAAACAAGATAACATCCCTGTTATTATCACCAAGTAATTCAAATATGATGAATTATTATTGGTTTTGAGGTTAGGTTGTATTTGGGGTGCCATTTTCACCATATGTGAGTGTTATTTTATTTTTTTTTTTGATTTTTATCAAGATTAAGTTTAAGAATGAAACCTGTTGGTTTTAACTTAATTTGAGATAATGGCCGTTGATTGGCGGTGTTCAGCGGTCAATCAAAACATTTTGACACCTCGTGCTTAGTTCCAACGTTGTTGAGATACGAAGCGCTGATAAAAGCATCAAAAAGGGTCAAATATTGCGTTTGAATAAATGTTCGGAAGCATCTATCGCTATTCTGCTATCTAAATACATCTGTAACTATGGCATAATGGCATGAAACACAAGACACGAGTCCTGCACCTGCGCATTAACACTTTTTACGTGTTACGTGTTACCTTTTTCTTTTCCTGTTTTTGTAGCCCGCTGTCGACGCGGGAGAAAAAAATACTCACGGTGGGTTTTTTGACTTCTGTTTTTTCGTGAAACGCAGGCGGTGTTTCTGTTTGAAATTACAGGCTTACTCCCAAAAGTGAATTTAACACAATAATAATAAAAAATACATCGGACACCTTTTTTGAGATGAGAGAGGTGTGGATTGTGATTCGCTTTCGTTGATTTAATTCGACGGTTAGTGGACTCTCAAATTAACATGCCGCGCGGGAATAAATTTATAAATTTGTGATTCAGCTACCAAGGGAAACAAATGCTACACATTGACAATTTTTGTTTTTGGTGTAAGTCGATTCCATGTAAATGCAAATTTAGAAGTTTTGGTGGCAATTTTGGGACGGTTATCGAAATGGTAACGCTTAAAAATGAATTAAATTACCATTAAAAATTGCAAATTGGCTATTAAAATGACACATTTTGAGTTTGTTTCAGCGTCTAAATTCAACCCATTTTCATTGGAATTTTAATACATACTTTTAAATTCTAAGCGTTTTTTTATATTTTTTTGAAGTTTTGATGACGCTTTCAAACATATTTCTGTATTTTCGGTATTCACTTTTGATTTTTGACATTTTTGACATTTTGGTCAAAGAAAAGGCCTAATATCCTAATTAATTCTCCATCTAGCGGTAAAATTTGTAACTTCAACATCATTCTAAAAACGCAAAACTTGAAACTTGAAAAGTATAAACCTTACACAGGTTGATTACGACTACTTCACATTGACAATACCTTCTCCCCATGTAATATGTTCGTGTGGCTTGCAAGTAAACGAGAAAAGCTCATCGTGGACGTCGGCGACCTGTGTTTGTTGTTGCGAAACGACGTCCCCGTCGTCGGTCACACATCGCAGCACACCCCATTCGCTGTCCGCGCTGTCGCATCGCCACCGACCGATTGTAATTCATCCAGTTTATTGTGTCGCTGTCGGGCGAAGGCAACTATCATGACCTGAAATGATATTTACAAGAGGGGATGATTTGCAAATAACTTCCAATATCAACACACACAGTCATATTAAGGATTTATTTCATCACATAATCACATTAGGTATATTTATATTCATGTATTTTAAAAATTATTCATTTGGTAGTAATTTGTAGTAATTAGCAATTTTACAAAATAATAGCTCTGTAATTAAACTGTAACCGAATTTCTACAATACCGTTATTAAAGTAAATTTGTACTTTTTTTATAATTATAATTACAAATTTTAATTAATCGCAAATTAGTAAGCAATGAGTAAATTTTAATTTAATCGTTATATAATTAATTGTTTTGGTTGCAAAAGTGTTGATAATTGCAAGTTTCACTCTTTGGTCATCGTAGATTAAAATTTAATTTCATACCAACTAATATCCGAAACAAAAACATTGTTTAATATATTTCTGACCGCAACGCCATCTATTTGTAATAGTTCCTACAAGCAACCTAATTTCATTCATATTCATTTCATCTCGTAGTGATTAAACAACTTAAATTATATACAAACGACAAATGAGTATTTAAACGAGCAAGATACTTATTTAAAACTTATAAAATGCTCAATAATTGCAAATCTTAACACGTTGCATAATATTAGCGCATGAAATACGAGCATATGTTTTCTGTAACTTTAATAACAGCAATAAAAGAATTGCACGCTAAACGCACCATAACGCAATTGTAGCAATATATAAAATAAAATCATATTGCATACACAGTGTAAAGAGTGATTTTTTATACAGGGTTGGGCAAAATTATTCAAAAGTTGCTAATTTGCCACATTCAACACATAAAGTTCTTAGAAGCATAGGTAGGTAGGAATATTAAAAATAAATGTAAAAGTTTTAAAAACACTTGGTATATGAATGAGGACCAAAGAAAAAGAAAAGAAGCAAAAAATGAAAACAATCGAAAGTAATCATTATTTATTTATTATACGAACCGGTCGAGTCGAGCGCAGTCAGTCAGTCAGTCAACGAGTCGAGTGGAATCGTTTATAAAGAAAGAATAATTCTTATGGAAGTCCAGTACGCAGTCCAGTCTGATGGAAGTCGCGATTCGAAATGCGCTCGTAGTTCTCGCTAATGGCGAACGCGGATTGCAATTATCAATTAGAAAGTACAACCGGCTAAAAGCCATTGCCAGTCAAACGCACGAAGAGACTAATTCTGGCTTTGCTTGAATCTTGCTTATTCAATCTGTGATCAAACATCAAATATCTACAAAACAATCTGCTTCTAATACAATTAATTGATTA